CGGGCTGGAATCCTAACCCTTCTGTTCATTGTCTGTGTGACCCTGGACAAGTGTCTCTGTCTCTCCTGCTGTTTATCCCTAGTCGTCTCTCGTCTCTTCCTGCTTCATCCTCTGTAAGATAAAAAGTGTCCTCAGAGGTCCCTTCTAGATCTCAGTGTTTGCCCTGATAGCTCCAGACTCTCAGGTTGTTTTCTCTCATGTCCACAGGAGTGACCGGGCCCGGTGGATCACTGCCCTGGAGCATAAGGAGAATCAGGAGCAAGGCCTAGCCAGTAAAGGAGGTACGACCCAGGCTTGGGAGGGAGGACGAAGCCAGATGGGGGAGGGCGGCTCGGCCTCCTCCGTGCAGCTGGAGTGCATAACTCTGGCTCTTGCTGATGGGAGCTTTCAGCAGGTGGGAGTTAGGGAGTGGAGGAGCTCAGATTCTTCAGAGATGAAGCAGAGGACAGGATGCTTATGTTGGAGCAGAAGTCTGGAGAGCTTGAGCGCCTGGGGTCTGAGGGCCTGGGGGGCTGGCTCTGCCTGCAGCTATAAGAGAAACAGATTCCCCTTCCTCCCTTGCCACACCTCAGATGGATCTGAGAACATCTGTCACTGCTTCTTGCCCTAAGTCAGGGCTCCCTGGGATAGCCCTAGTTTAATTCTCCTCGGATCTTTGGGGGTCTGTGTGTCTGTAAACACACCTGTTTGTGTCTTTGTGAATGTGAAGGAGGGCACAATGCAGATCTGTGAGCAGGCATTTAACACTGTTAACCACTCTCTCCCCCAGATACTCTCTTCTCTGCATTGTTGTGACTACTCTTGATTCTCCCCCAACGTGTCTGGCCTCTCCTTCCTTCGCAGTCTCTTTTCCTGAATCATCATGTCGCACCCATTAACTGTGGGGTCAGAGATCCCCTATAGGGGATCTATCCATAGGCCTACTTTGCTTTTCTGTCTATACTCTCTCACTTGGTAATCTCACCAGCTCCCGTGGGTTTAGTTATCATCTTCACCCAAGAAGACTCCCCTCTCCAGCCAATTCCCATCCCTTGGCCCCAAATTCCAAGTTTGTCACCCACTGCTGATCAGATATTTCAAACTGGAAGTCCTACATGTGTCTCAAACTCCACTTGTCCAGAGCAGGCCTCTTCCCCTCCAAACCCACCTCTCTTTCACACACTCCTATTTCTGGCAAAGACCCCGCCGTCATCCTAGTTACGCATACACAACCTCAGAGTTGTCCTCCGTTTTTCACCCTCCCTCGCCCCACGCACCCGCTCAGTTGCCCAGATCTCTTGTATGCTTTCCCTTCTTATCTACGCACATAGCTAGTTCGGGCCCTCAGTATTGTAACATCATGCTAATTGGTATCCGCGCCTTCTGTCCTCAACCCAGACCTAACACAGAACAGGTCTGACCATTGACCCCTGCTCACTACATTTAAAATTCTTAACAACCTGGACCCAACCTATATTTCCAGCCTCATCACATGACTGCCCTCCATATTCACTGTGGTCCTGCCAAACTGGTCTTCGTAACGTGCCTCTTACATGATGCTGTATCTGCTACCTCTGTCCCTAAGCCTGGAATGCCCTTCCCCTCCCCTCCATCAATCAGAGCTTCCTTGAGGGCTCAGCTTAACCACCTTCTCCAGGGGGCTTTGCCTACTCCCCCAAGAGAGCCATGTGCCATACTTATACATGTACACGTTGTCTGCCTCGGTGAGAATATATTTGTTTCTGCCCTCTACCCCCCCCCGTACCCAGATAATGCCGGGACAACAATAGGCGATTAATAAGTGCTTATTAATTGAATGATTGACAGTCATGAGTCTCTGTGTGCCTGTGAGCCTCTTTTAAATCAGTCTTTCTTGACCTCCCTTTACGTAGGGTTAGAGAGGACAAAGCGAAGGACCATCCGTAAGCCAGGAGATGCTCCCCGGGCGCCCCCTGCTGGCTGCGTAGTGTAGAGCATGAACCAGAGCCCAGCCTTTTCTCCACCTGAAGTAGGGGTCCAGGAGGCAAACCTGACCTGGCCGGAGGAGGCTGGGGCTGCCCACTAGGAGCCAGGCCCAGGGCAAGGAGATAGCTCCCGTCCGAGCAAGACTAGAATCTTCCTTTGCAGCAGGCTTACTCTCGCCTCCTGGCTCCAGGCTTGAGGGCTCTGGCAGCTGGGACTTGGCCCCTTCTTTACCCGGGGGCCGACCCCAGCCTCCCAATGTGGGGCCCCCTTGGGACTGGAGTCCCCAAGGACGAGGCTTCACTTGCATTCTTTGGTCGTAGGCAGGGTGAAGGGAAGGGGGATGCTACCCCTCCTCTCCCATAGACCCTAACCTAGGGGCAGGGAACAGGATCTGATCTGGCTGTCAGAAATCCCTTCTTCTGTAGTGAAGGTTTTTTCCTTCCCTGCTCTTCTCTTTCCTCTCTCCCTGCCTCCCTCCTCTCTTCTTCGTCCTCCTCCTCCCCTTCCTCTTCTCCCTCCTTCCTTGTCTTCATCTTCCTCTCCACCTCCTTGTCCCCCTCTTCTCCCTGCCGTCTTTGTCCCCCTCATCCTCCTCACTCCCCGATTCCTGGTCTTCTCCCTCTCCCACTGTCTCCCCCTCCGGTTTTCTGGCAGCAGAGCCCCACAGCAGAGGCTCAGGGAAGCCCCGACCCCCTTCTTTTTCCCTGTCATCACGCCCTGAGTGACACATCTCCCTCCTTGCCCTCAGACCTACACCAGGTGGAGATCACCAAGGCGTATTTTGCCAAACAGGCCGATGAGATCACCCTGCAGCAGGCAGATGTGGTCCTGATCCAGCAGCAAGAAGATGGTGAGCTCCTCATGGATGTGCCCTGACCGGCCAACACTGAAAAACTTCACAGAATGTTATGCAGCCAAGCTAAGTGTGCCTGTCTTTACACAGCAGACGCACTATGGGGCAAACATTGCGTCAATTGGATCCTGATTTAACATCCTAGAGAAAGTTGTTGATAATTGCCCACACTTCCATAGGGCTTGGGGTTCAAAAACTGCTTCTCTTACAGTAAACCTGTGAGATAGTGCAGGTGTTAGTGATGCCATTTTACAGATGGGGAAACTGAGACTTGGGTGAATTAACTTGTCCGAGGTCACATTTGAGAACTTGAAAGCATGCTCAATTATTCTCTAATCCCCTTTCTGATATGTTTTTAGTAGGGAAGACCCCTAGATTCCCTGATCCATATAGGGACCCCAAGCATTTTAGGATGGTACCAAGAGTAGACCCACTGAGCCAGTGACCTTCCCATCAGCTGCCTCTGCTCTGTCTAAACACTCGGGATTGAGCTCTCCTTTCTACTGTTTTATTTTTTTTCATAACAGGCTGGTTTTATGGAGAGCGTCTGCGTGATGGGGAGATTGGCTGGTTCCCCGAGGACTATGCCCGAGCCATCACCAGCAGAGTGGCTGTGGAAGGCAACGTGCGCAGGCTGGAACGATTGAGGGTGGAGACGGATGTGTAGACGACTCATCCGAGCCTTCTCAGGCTTTCCAAGTTTCTTGTCTGGGTGCAAGGGTTTCACAACAGACCGAGGGTTCCCCATCAGAGCCGTCTTCTCTAGGGTTTGCAAATGGTACGTGTGAGCTGCGAAGCCTTTCCAGGGAATCTTTGGGGTTCCAGTCAGCCCCTTCCCATTACCCTTTTCCCTGGGTCAATTTTTGTTCCAATTTTGGGAAGCCTGGGCTCATCTGGTCCTGAGTTTGCCCCCCTTCTGTTGATTTTTCCTCCCCTCTCCAGCCTGCCCCAAATTCACATACAGAAAGGCCACTTTAGGTGGGCTTTGAGTGGCCCCAGTAGGTACATCCCATAACAATGCACCTGTCTGCTTACCCAGCACCACCTGTCACACATTCCTGACTATGGCATTACAAAGGAAATGTTTAATCCCTTCGAAAACATTTGCATTTGAGAAGGAAACAAGAAGGGAGTGGGCTGTGCTGGGCAGAGGAGGTAGCCAGAGGTCAGAAGGACAGGGGATTTTTTAGGCCATCCCTGCCCTTATTAAGCCAGCCCTCCTCTCAGCTGTCACCTGCACCCCCATTTTCATTGGCCCAGCAGTGATCCTCCTTCCCTTGGCCTTCAGGTCCTGCTAGGTGGGTGTCGGGGCACAGACGGACTTGAAAGCCCCCAGCTTTCTGGGGGCTGGCCCTGAGGCTGAGGGAGGGGGGAGGAGCACTGGACTGTACATTGTTGTATATTGTGTTTTTCTGAGAAATGTAAAAGTCATTAAAATTATTTCATTAAAACCCACTGTTTCTTTACTGCAGGAAGGGCCCTTGTGTCATGAGGTCCTATAACCCAGAATCCTAAGGTTCCTGCAAACTTCAATCAGTCCCCAAGTGCCTGGATTCCAAGGTTCTCTGATCTGTCATTTCAGAGCCTGGAACCACTGACCTACATCTCAAAGCTTGGACCTTAGAATTAGAATGTCCAAAGTTTTCTAGATCTGGGACTCCCGAGTCTAGAATTCTAGATCCATGTAGCCATCTAACTTTTGATGATACAGAACCCTACCCAATCTTCCTATGACCTAGAATCATCCTGTCATCCCAGAGCCTGGAGATCTAGACCTTTGAGATACTACCACCTTAGGCTCCTGGCATCTAGAACCTTTGGGAGCCCAGTTTGGGCCCAGAGTTTGTCTGAAGTTTCTGAATTCCCAAGGGGTCTAAGATGCTAGGTGTCAGTTTCCTCATCTGTAAAACAAGTGGTCTGGCCTAGATGGCCTCTGGAGGCCCTTTTAGCTCCTGGAGCTATGATTGCATGAGCCAAAGAGTCTTAAGAGACAGAACCTCAGAGGTCACCTACAACTACCTTCATTTTCTTGATGAGGAAATTGAGGCCTGGACAGGTAAAATGAATTTCCCCGAGGTCATACAGATGGAGACAGAAGCCAGGTCTTCTGACTCAAGACCGCTACTCTTTCTCCTTAACCTCTCATTTCAAGGTTCTGGGCTGACTTTTCCACCTGCAAGAAGTTCCCTTGTGAGAATCACACTGAACAAACCAGAAAGTTTCATTCTTTTAACTTAATGAGTTTTACACAGTGCCGGGCCCCCTTTGCCATGGAACCCTTACAGTACACATTGGCTGGCTGGTTGATATATAAAGGGAGGACACGGTTGTGCCCACTCAGCTGAAAACAGAACACTCAGTCCCCCTCCCCAGGATGGAGTTGGGGTAGGGGGGACGACAATGCCTTTATAGCACAGAGGAGGAGCAAAGAGGCCACCGTCTGGGGCTGAACACACCCCTTCCAGTGCCTCTCTGGAGCACCAGGCTGCCCCCTCCCCAGAACCTGACTTTGTACAGCTGCCCATAAATACCTTTACATAAATACATATTGGACTATATTTCCAGGTAAACAAGGAACCGCCCCCAGAACAGGACAGGCTGGAGCTGTTGAGTAGCCATCAGTCCATTGGTTAGCACCAGATGAAGCCTGCTGGTAGATTGCAGGGAAGAGTTAGAAACAAACATGCCAAGCCCAGAGGCCGTCTCCTTGTTCTCTGAGCATCCTGGAGTACCCTTTATGGGCTGTGGCTGGTGGGAACTGATGGGTGTTCCTTAGAACACAGTTGTCCCTGGTTGAGTCAGTGCCTTTGGGATTGTCCCGTCCAGTCCACCAGCCCAACACTGGGAGCTTAAGATGGACCTTACTGCAGCCATCTCCCCTTGGCCTGAGCCCAAGAAGCTGTCAGTCATCCTCAGGCCTTTTGGAGGGGAATTGAGATCCCAGGAGTGGTGAGTTACATAGCATTGTAGTCACCGTGGCCTCACCAGCAGCATCAGAGAGAACGCTGGTTCAAAAAAATGAATGATGGCTAAGACGGAACCAGTCGACCGGTGGTTTCCCGAGGATTTTTCGTCACTTACATACAGTAACACTGGAAGGATGGGCAGGGCCAGGGAAGGGAGGGTGGGTGGGAATGGAAGACAGAGGTTGGGGGCTAATGTTTTGCTGGCTGTGGGCTGAACCTGGGAGGTGATCTGTAGGATGAAGGACGTGAAGCCACTAATAACAGGAGAAAAGAAAGATAAAATGAGTCTGAGTAGTGATTGAGAAGCCTCTAGGTGTTTAGTGGTATGGGGAAGAAACAGGAGCATCTCGATCATAGTTAGTGCTAAGGTAATGACCCCAGTAAGATGGTGCCCAAGTCCTGAGAGTGAGGCAAGGTTAACAGCCTTCTCTCTACAGAAGACACAGGCCTACAGTGGAGTGAGCTTACGTTGTCTGGGGGTCTCGGTTGGAGGAGAGCTAGAACCTGTAAGTGCTGAGCATCTATACGCTTGTGACTTGAGAAGTGAGCAGACTCTACCAGTTAAGGGGATCAGGGGGTGGCGGGGTGGCTGGGCTGATGTCTTAATGAACCGTATTTAACACCACTTCCCCTGCACTCTGCTCTCAGTGGTCTTGCCAGACACAGGCTACATGTATGTGATAAGTAGGATTGCTGTGAAGACGCCGTCAGACTCAAAGGTGAGTTTCGGAGCTGCAAGGGACCTCAGAAGCCATGGAGTCTTCCCCTACGTTTTATAGATGGGGAAAATGACGCTGAGGGGGGAGGCGAAGCGTTGTGTCCAGGATCGAGTATCTGAGTCTGGCTTTGAACCCAGGTCTGCTCATCTCCAAGCCTGGCTCTCAATTCACTGCACCACCTAGCTGCTACTCAGTAGATTTAGGGCCACTGAACAGTGTCATCTGGCTGAGGGGCAGAGGGAGAAGGGAATGAGCTCAGGCTCTGATAGGCTTGTACCTTCTCTTTGCCTTTTTAACAAGGCCTGGCTTTATGTCATCAGCCCCCTTGGTTCCAGGACAGCAGAAACTTGGGGTACCCGGGGAATCTGAAGCTTCCCCTACCTGGCTCACTCTGCAAACACGTTTGGTTCTAACACTCTCAGGATGTTTAGCAAGCCTCACCCTCTTCCCCATGTCCTAGGCAGACAGACCCAGTGACCAGGGCATCTTGAGCTCATGGTGAAAGACACAAAAGAGACCCAATGCAGATCCGCTTACCTGGGTCCAAGACTTGGGACTTGCTGGCTGGGAGCTGCAGAGGGCCGCCTGAAAAATACCACAACAGAAAGAGAGGGATGGGTAAGCCCCGATGCCTGGCTCGCTAGTGTCTGTACAGGAGGGTCTGCTGTGCTCATTCCCACTCCAGGCAGACCAGTTTAAAAGGGGGTGCAGAGGGCAAAAGTCAACCCCTAAACTGGCAAACATCGCCCCATCACCAAACTCCACCCTGGATCATTGAAAAAACAAGCCTCTCCTCTCCTCATCCCCTGCTTTTTAACATCAAAATCTAGTCAGTATAGGAGAATGGAAAGGATGATGAATTTGGGGCCAGAGGGCCTGAGTTCAAATTCTGAGTCAGCCCCGTAATGCTTGTGTGACCTTCGCCAAATCACAACCTTCCCGGGCCCATTTCTTCATTAAATGAAGGATCGGACGCAACGGCTTCTGGGGGTCCCAGCCCTAAATCTGTGCTCTTATGATCGTGTGGGCTTTCTCTTTGCCTCAGTTTCCTCACTTGTAAAATAAGAGATTGGACTTCCTGGTCTCAGAGGCCCTTTCTAGATCTAGGCTCTAGGTCCAGCCTCCAGACTCGGGCTGCTCCCATGCCTGGAATTCTCTCCCTCTCTTCTCTGCCTCCTGGCTTCTTCAGATCTTAACTAAGATTCCCGGTACGGGCAGCCCTTCCCAGTTCTCCCAGATCTCAGTGGCTGCCCGCTACAAACATCTCCGGTCCATCCTGACCATATCTTGCTTGCACCTGGTTGTCTGCATGTTATCTGCCCTGTTACACTGTGAGCTCCTTGAGAGCAGAGGCTCTCGAGGTTTTGGGGGGGGTTTTTTAACTCTTTTTTTGGGGGGGATTCTAAACACTGCACAGTGCCTTGCATATGGTAGGTGCCTAATAAATGCTTGCTGATTTGACTACTGTTTCCTCATCAGAAATTGAGTAGGTTGGACAATCAGGGCTTCTTAAATTTTTTCCACTCCCGACCGCTTCAGCGTTTCTGAAACGGGGGTTGTGACCAATGGCCTCTGAGTTCCTATGACCCGAGATCTATGATGCTTTGAACTCCATGCAGGCGCGGGAATTAGAGGAGAAGGAAAGGGAAGGGAACAAGCATTTATTATGTACCTGCTATGTACCAGCATCGTGCTAAGTACTTTACTTTGATCCTCACAATGACCCTAGGAGGTAGGTGTTGTTATTACCCTCATTTTACAGTTGAGGAAACTGAGGCAGGAAGGTTAATTGACTTGCCCTGGGTCCCACAGTAAGTGTCTGAGGCTGGATGTGAACTCGGGTCTTCCTGATTCCAGACCCAGTATTCTGTCCACTGTGCCATTAATACCTTCATTTATGCAGATGAAAACACATATAACTAAGACAGCTGAGAGAGTGACTTGTCCAGGGTCACACAGCTAGTATCAGAGGTGAGATCTGAACCCCAGCACTCCATGTGCTATACCACACTGTCTGTGTATGTCTGTGGGTATACTGTAAATATACATACACATGCCAATACCTTGTGCTCACTCCACTGTTTAATCCCTTCCCTTTTCTCCAAGCCCCGCGTCCAATGAAATCCATCAGCTAGGGGGTGCAATGGATAGAGCGCTGGGCTCGGAATCAGAAAGACCTGAATTCAAATCCCGCCTCAGGTACTTCTTAGCTGGGTGACCCTGAGCTTGTCACTTAACCTGTCTGCCTCAGTTTCCTCATCTGTAAAATGGGGATAATACTAGCGCCTACCTTCCAGAGTTGTTGTGAGGATCACATGAGATAGTAATTGTAAAGCTTAGCACACAGTGCAGTGCTACATAGATGTCAGATATCATTAGCGTCGCTATTATTATTACTATTACTGTTATTATCGTGGGCATTCCTACTCAAAGGGGTACAGGCATCATTAGAATGTGTACACATGCCTCTTAATATGATGTCATATGTAAACTATGCATACTGTGCAGACCTAACTCACAGAATTACTGGCGGCAGATTGGCCCTTCCTAAAACTTCAGAAATGAGAGTTACCCTGTTTCTGCGTTTCTTCCCTTGGTGTCCAATAGATTATGGCTGCAATGCCAGATATAACCAGTAGATGTCGCTGCCCTAACATATGATTTCTGTTCGCATCAGTACCCAAAATAACAGATTCCAACTTCCCTCTGCCCTTTGTGGTTATGGCAGCGGTGGTTCTTAACATTTTTGGTGCCAGGGACCCCTTTGGCCAATGGTGAAGCCTGTGGGGCCCATGCTTAGAATCATGGTTTTAAATGCACAAAATAAAATAGCTTTACAAAGATACCAATTATATTCCAATAAAGATGTGATTATCTTCTCACATCCAAGTTCACAGGCCTCCTGAAATCTCTCCACAGACCCCTTGGGGGGGGGGTTAAGAACCCCTGGATCATTGGGTTCTAGATCTAGAACTGGAAGAGATGTCAGAAGCCGTAGAGTTCACCCCCCTCACCTGATGTTTGTTGAGGTCAACAAGCATTCAAGTGCTCGCTACATGCCCAGCACCAGAGATACAAATACAGGCAAAAAGACATCCCCTGACCTCCAGGAGCTTACACTCTCATGCGGAAAGACTGCATAAAAAAGGGCTGAAAGGTAGGTGTAGATTAGGTGATTTGTCTGGGGTCCCATAGGTAAGTAAGTAAGGGTCTGAGGCTGACACTGAATCCGGTGGTCTTGACTCCAAGTCTGCTGTGTGCTACACCATGATGTCTCCTAATGAGGCCAGGAGCTCACTGGTGTGCTGGTTATATGTTAACTACTTACTAGCTTTGTGGCCCTGGACAAGTCACTTAACCCCAACTGCCTCGCTAAAAAAAAAAAAAACCCAAAAACAAACAAACCAAAAAAACCACCATATGGAGCCAGACTCCATTCTCAGTGTCCTTGGATATGTTAACTATCAACCCCTGATCAATTTGCTGTCCTCTGGTCTGGTGGGTAGTACTCTGGACTTGGAGTCTGGAAGACTAGGGTTCAAATATCCCCCAGCTGGGACCATTTACTAGCCGTGTGATTATGGACGTGGCTTTTTACCTTCTCCTCTAAGGCTCCCTTCCCATCTACTCTCTGTATCTTGGATACATGTACCTATTAATGTATATATTGTCTCCCCATTAGAATGTCAGCTACTCAGTTGAGGGGGTGGGGTGGAGAAAAAAAGAAAAAAATATGCTTAATTGGGAAAAAATAATTTTTTCCAAAAAAAAGTAAGCTTCTTAAGGATAGGGATTGTTTTTGCCTCTCTTTATATCCCCGGTGCTTAGCACAGTGCCTAGAACACAGTCATTGCCTGACTGACCTTTCTGAGCCTCAGTTAACAGCCTCATCTGTTCAATGGGGCTAATAACAGTCCCTACTTCACAAGGCTTCTTAGGAGACTTAAATCAGGTAACATATATAAAGTACTTTGCAAACCTTAAAATGCTATAAAAGTGTGAGCTGTTATTATTTTTATTATAATCCAGATGTGCTCCAAATGGGGCTCCCTCAGTGCCCAACCCAGGCTTGCCTTCCGTAGGCTCTTGAGTAAGGAAGGCCTCCCATGCTGGGGAGATGAGCCCATGGGGCCTGGCTGGGGGGAGATAGGGTGGAACAATAGCAAATCCATCCAAATGTCTATAAAATTCACATCTTGCCCAAATCAAAGCCCATCTGCTCTTGTGGGTATTGGCAGGACACTTCACATTCGCCTTGGAGTCCACACAACCCAAGCCAGCTGTTGACAGGATGGGCTCGGGGCTGGGGAGGGGAGGGACTGGGGCTCTAGCCTTCACCAAAGAGCATCCCCAGGCTCTGCAGCTGGGGCAAAGAAGGACAGGACCAAGAAGATGGAAGCGGACGGTTAGGCCTCAGTGTACGGATGGAGAGCCGTGGTGTGGGGGCAATACTGGATGTAGGAATCGGAGGATCTGCTGTTTACTGCAGGTGTGTCTTTGGGCAGGTTCACTTCTCCTTAAGCCCCAGTTTCCTCATCTCTAAAATGGGGTGGTTGGACTCAACCTCTCAAGTCCAGCTCTAAAGCTATGATTCTTTGACCTTTAATTTGCTGCTTACTAGCCATGTGACCTGGGTTCTACAAGTCTATAAAATGATGAATTCTGGGCTGGGCTAGGTAAAAATCCTAGCAAGGAATCACAGATTCAAGTCCAAACTTTGCATTTTAGAGATGCAGAAACTGAGGCACAGAGAGGTTTTTTAAGTGACTTTGACCAGAGGCACACAGTTATATATCCCTGGTGGGATTTGAACCTAAGTCTTCCTGACTCCAAGTCCAGGAATCTCTAAGGCCCCTTCCTGTTATATTCTGACCCAGAATCTGGAGACCTGGGTTTGAATTGCAAGGAGAGACACTAGCTCTGTGACTATGAGCAGGTCACTTGTATCCCTGGTGCCTAGTATTTAGTAGGTGATTAATAAATGCTTGTTGATAAACAAGTATATCCATTTACCTCTCTGAGCCTCAGTTTCCTCATTTGTAAAAGTGTTAGTAATACTTGGGATTATAGACAGAGCTGGAAGAGACCTTAGAGATCAAGTCCATTTTAGAGATGAGAAAACTGAGGTTGTGACCATGCCCCAGTGCACATAGGTTGGCAGAGATGGGATTTGAAGCCAGGTCCTTAGATGGCAAATCCAGCATGGAGCTACCCATCTCACAAGGTTGTTGTGAGAAAAGCCCTGCACAGAATTTAAGCAGCCACCAGGCCCTGGCACACTCGGATTCCAGGCTCTGTGACTGGGTAATTCCCCTCCCCTCTCTGGGCCTCAGTTTCCTTGTTGATAACATGATACTGAAAGAAGGGACCGTTCTACAGCGATCATCAATTACTCATTTCATCAGCCTTTGTTAGACAAACACAAATGTTGGGCAAGTTGAGAAGTAAAGAACCCTGAGTAGGAACCTGCTTTAAGGCATTCCAGTCCAAATCCCAGAGGCAGCTCCCCCTGCCTCTCCCTTGGGGAAGCCCTTCATCTCTGGGGCCCTCGGTTTCCTTATCTGTAAAATAAGGGAGTCAGACCAGATGACCTCTGAGGTCCCTTTCAGAGTGAGATCTCGAGTCCCATGCGCCAACGACCCTCCCTTGGTCCTCAGTTTCCTTATCTATAAAATGAGGGAGTCAGAGCAGATGACCTTCAGATCTTTAACGCTCTGATCCCTGGAAGGCCAGGGCGCCTGGAACAAAGGAAGGAGGACGCCTGCTTATGACCCCGATAATAGGAAATAGACTCACCTTCTCGACACGTGGGCCCAATGTAGCCTCCCATGCAGACACACTGGCCGTTGAGGGCGTTACAGTGAGAACTCCCCTCACAGCCACAGCTCAGGGTGCAGCCAGGGCCGAAGCGATTTCCCCTGCATTCTGGGGAGGCAAGTGCAGAAGGAACTCAGACAGACCCCAGGGGCTCAGAGCTCAATGGTCTGTCCTAAGAAGAAACTGTATCTATTTTTGCACCAGAGGAAACTCAAACCAGGGCAGAGGTGAATGGAGAGGTGAATGGTGGACACACACAGGCTACCAAGAAGGGACCACAGAAGAGAAGAAGGGCAAAGGATGACGCTGAAGAAACGGGCGATTGAAAAAGAGGATGGATCGATCCGTTTCTGTGGTAGCAAAGGTCTAGAAACTAAGGAGCCGTTCATTGATTGGGAAAGAGCCGCAGGGACAGAATGGAACGTCATGGTGTTGGAAGAAGTGACCAACTTGGATACAAAGAAGCCTGAGAAGACTTGTATGAGTTGATGCAAAGGGAAGAAAACCAAGAAACAAGGACAATGGGAGAAGCCCTGAAACGACTGAAATTGAATGCTATGAAATTAAAATGATAAAGCATGACTCAGAAGAAGTGATGGGAGAAGACTCCTCCCCCACTTGTTGGCAGAGGTGCGGGCCATAGGGGTAGGACCCTGCATGGGATGTCAGGCTTTTTCAATAGGAGGATACATTTCACTGAATTTTTTTCTTCTAAAAAATTAGTAATTTTAAAGGATTGCTTTCTGGATGTGGGTTAAGACATGGATACCATGGAAAAAGTAAGTGATGCAAAATAAAAGGTATCTATAAGATTTTATTTTTTTAAAAAAGCCGAGCCAGTCATGTGGTGAAAGTGAAAGATGATCACTGGATAAGCTTCATCGTCACTGTTATCTTTTCACTGTCGAGGGAAATCAAGGCAAGGAAAACAGCACATTGGGTAGACTCCCTTGTGGCAAAATTTGGGGAGCACCTGGACAACAATGGCCTATGATGGGCAGGCATATAACCCACAACCCTTGAAGGGCTGTTCACAGATTCAGACAAGTATTTCAGTCTTCTTACCAACTGGCTGCTAAGCTCTATCATTTCACTATTGCTAAAGGAATGCAAGCCCTAATTCTGTACCTTCTAAATTCGGTGCCTTGGGACAAAGGCTTAGTGACCCTGCCCTAGTTATGGCCCTGAACACCTGAGAATTCTGAAGGGTTTTGTGAGTCCAAAAATAGGGGGCCTGACTCCAAAGGGCTGCCTGAGCCTAAAGGCCTTAACAGGGACTAAAGGATCCAGCATAAAAGCCCATTTCTGGGTCTATTAGAAAAAAATGGGGAAGAGGGTCAAGAGACTGGGTTCTGGCCATGGTCTTCCCACTGACCATGTGACTTTGGGCTGGTTACTTCATCTCTATGCCTCCAGTTCCATATCTGTAAAATGGGGCTATTCAAACCCACCTGACCTACCTCAGGAGGACAGTATTAGAAGTAAGGAGAAGACCGAGGGAGAGGGATGAACTAAGATCTGAAGGTCTATGGTGAAAGCAGCCATGTGCTACAGACTTTCTCCCCTTGATACGCCCACCACCACGGGACAGCATTCTCTCCCTGCTTTTGTCCCCCACCCCTGCACTTACCCAGGTCACACTTGGCTCCCATCCTCCCTGGTGGGCACAGGCACTGGCCGGTGACTGAGTCACACGGCACATCCCCCTCACAGTCACAAGCCTGGCGGCAGTCAGCTCCAAACATCCCTGGCTCACATCCTGCCGGGGGAGGAGAAGCAGAGGGCTGAGGGGCTGGCCCAGGCAGCCCTGCCTGTCAAAGGCTCAGTCCAGGCACCCTCCCCCCATCACCGAAGGATGATGTCCAATATATTCCCTCATTGGAGAGAAGTCTCAGCTGCAATGGCCACAATGCATATGGTGCTGGGGGGGGGGGGGGGCAGGTGGTCTTTGTGGGACAGGGCACATTTTTACAATCTTCACTGCGGTTTTAGAGAGAAAGTCAAGGTCATGCAGTCAGTGACTGCCAAGGGATCCCATTCAATCAATCCAAGGAGCATTTATGAAGTGTTTACCAGATGCCAGGCCCTGTGCTAGGTACAGAGGTACACAAATGACCTAGCCCCTGCCTCTGTCAAGGAGTTCACATTCTACTATAGCAATATCCGCCGTATTTTGGAAACCCTCAGGGAAATGGATTTACTTCAATCCAACAAGTATTTATTCATTATAATAATTTATTCATTTATTCCATGCCGGGTGAGAGGCAGCATGGTGTAGAGGATAGAAAATTGGCCTAGCCATGAGGAAGACCTGGGTTCAATACCAGCCTCTGAAAAATACAGGCTGTGTGGCCCTAGGCAAGAAACTTGTCTTCTCAGTTCCAGTAATAATAATAATTCCAATAATAATAATAATTATTAGTATTATTATTGTTATTATTATTATTATAGCAGCTAGCATTTATATAGCACTTACTACGTGCCAGGGACTGTGGAAAGTGCTTTACAAATAATTCTCTCACTTAATCCTTACAACAACCCTGGGAGGTAGAGGCTATTATTATCGTCATTTTACAGATGCAGAAACTGAGGCAAACAGATTAGGTGACTCATCCAGGGTCACACAACTAGTATCTTGAGGCTGCATTTGAACTCGGGTCTTCCTGACTCAAGGCCTGCACTCTAATGCCCCCTGGCTGCCTAAATAGTTCTTTCTTTTTTGTCTTTGCATCCCTGGTACCCAGCAGAATGCCTAGCACACAGCAAGCTTGTGGGTTAGTTGGCTGACTTCAAGAGGCTTAGGTTTACTAGACTCCTTACCAGTGGAGCCTACATTAAATGGGCCTAGCAGAGAGCCCAGTAGAACGAGGGTGCCAGAGCTCCCCTTATGGCATCAGGGGCCTAGGATGCAGGAAGCTGAGCATCACTAGAGACTTACCTTTCTCGCAGAACTGCCCCTGGAAGCCGGCGGGGCAGAGACATTGGCCAGTGAGCGGGTGGCACAGGGCTCCTTGGTGACAGTCACAAACCTCTTGGCAGCCAGCCCCGTGAAAGCCAGGGGGACATGCTGGGGAAAGAGGCCACCCCAGAAGGGCCCAAAGTGGTTAAAATGGGCCACGCATACAGAATCCTGTCCCGCTCTCTTAAGGCCAGGAGGGCTCCCACCCAGACCACTGCTCTAGCAAAGTGCTCCCAGAGCAGGCCTGTTTGATGAAGACCAGTAATGTGGGCTGACCCATCTAAAGTGGTCCCACTTAACCTCATGGTGGATTTCATCAGAGGCACAAGGGTTTCTGATGTTGCTAGCTTCATGATCTCATCTTTGCCTGAAACAAAAGCAACCCCCACATCCTAGGCCTACTCTTCTTGGCCTCACTCTGGGCATCCTTGAAGAGGATCTCCAACTAGCCTTCCTAGCCTAGTGTTGACAGTGTACGGTGAAGATGAGGCCAGGACCCCAAAAGACAGACTCTCAGAGGGTAGGAACCTCAGCAGCCATCTGGTCTGACCCCTATGTAAACAAAACCCCCCTCACAATATCTCCAGTGGGCATCCAACTTTGGCTTTCAAGTGATTCAGGAAGGGAGAGGGGGTACTGAGATCCCCCATGGGCCAGGTGACCTCTGCCTGCCCCTGTTATACAATGTCCAGCCACTATCCTAACATGTGCTCACTGTCCAGAGGTAGGCTGGGGAGAACACAGCCCCAGCCATTTCAGAAACAAATCACAGGTCTTGTCCTACCTGGGAGTAGAGGGGACAGGGAGGTGCCCTGATTACCAGGACAGATCTGAGCTCAGTCTCCCTCCCTCTTTCCCGCCTCTACCTGGCTGGGCAGATCATAGACTCTCTAAGTCTTCTCTTCTCCAGACTAAACATCCCCAGTTCCTTGAACTAATTCTCGTATGGCACAGAGCTCTAGTGCCCCCATCAACCCAGCTGCTTTCCTTGGAAAACAATCTAGGTGGTCAAAATTCCTATTAAAATGTGGTATCCCAGAATCTGAGAGGAGTCACAAGAGGTCCCCTGCAGAACTCACTGTGTTCACAGGCCTGGCCAAAATGGCCCGGGGGACACTGACAGGCACCCATCACTCGATCACACGTCCCATTGTTGAGACAGGTACATTCCAGGCGGCAGTCAGCACCATACTTCCCAGGTGGGCAGGCTGGAGAGAGAATGACAGAATGCTCCTAAGCAAGTCAGGGTAGGCAAGAGGAAGACTGAGTCTCCAGTGAGAATGGGTAGAGGTCAGAGAAGGTGGCCTCATGGGAAGACTTCAGACATTGTGGCTGGAGCAAGATAGCTCCAGAGTATGAGCCCCCACATACATGAGGCTCCAAGTGGCACAATGGATAGAGCTCTGGGCCTGGAGTCAGGAAGACCTGAGTTCAGATCCAGCCTCAGACACTTACTAGCTGTGTGACCTGGGGCAAGTCACTTAACCTTACTGGGCCTCAGTCTCCTCTGTAAAATGAGGGGGGTTGACCTCATAAGTCCCTTCGGGCCCTAAATCTATGACCCATTGATGTGGAGGGAATCAAATTGTTGAATCCGTTTTCATGGATTCAATCTATTCACATAATATGAGCACTCTGTGTGAGGATTCTTCCCTATTAACAGCCCTAACAGTAAACTCTGACATTTCTTCCCCACAAACGACGTGACAGACATCTGTCCTAAAATACGTGAGCACGGTTAATTCCCCAAGTCAAAATAAAGTTAACATGGAGTCTCAAAGCAAACACCATGTGCCTGTATTTCCCTTGAGGGTGATGGCGGCCTCAAGTGGTTTTGATACAAGATGGGATCTTCTCCCTGAGGACATTTTTTTTAATTGTTTTTTTTTTTTAGGCAATTGGTGTTAAGTGACTTGCCCAGGGTCACACAGCTAGTAAATGTCAAGTGTTTGGTCTGAGGCTAGATTTGAACTCAGGTCCTCCTGACTTCAGGGCCGGTGCTCTACCTAGCTGCCCCCTGAGGACATTTTTTGAGAAAAATTTTGAGAATTGCCATAATAAACAATCGTGTGCCCAGGGTCACACATGCAGTATTAGTCAAAGGCAAAACTTGAACACAGTTCTTCCTGGTTGTGAGGTGGCACTCTGATAACAACAACAAAAATAACAACATTTATATGTTGTTTGCAACGGACTTTATACGCACGTATACACATGTGCACAAAGGCACAATGCACACACATGCCCAATGCATTTACATATAAACACACATGTGCACACGTGTGTATATATGCATAGATATGCACATGGACATACCTACAGAAATATGTGTGTATAACTATTTACATGCACAATGTATGTATATATACATATGTATGTATGTGTGTATATGCGTGTGTGTGTGTATATATATATACTATATATACACACACACACACACACACACACACACGCACAAACATAAATCTCTTGATCCTTGCCAAAAACCCTGTGCGAAAAAAAAAATTAAAAGCAAAACAAAACAAAAAACCAAAAACCCTGTGCGCAAGGAGTCATTGTCAGCCCATTTTACAAATGAGAAGACTGAGGCTAGAGGGGTGGTGTTGGAGGGCAGGAAGGGCACTCACCTAGCTCACAGTGCTTTCCCATCCATCCCAGGCCACAGGAGCAGGAGCCGTTGATGGGATGACACAGGCCTCCATTCCTACAGGGACACACCAGCTCACAGCCCAAGCCGAATCGATCCCTGGGGCAGCCTGAGGGGGGACCTCAAGTTCATCAGTGATGAGTCAAGCAAAAAAGTTCCCAACCTCAGGGAACTTTATAAGGGGTGGAGAGCACGTGGAAACAGGGTTTGGTGAGCCAGGTAGGATATGTTGTGTGTCTGCTTATGTGTGTCAATGCATGGAGCTGAGAGAGGGCAGGGGGTCCTCAACAAAACTTACTGCCATTGAAGGCTGGTGTTCCTGGGATACTCAAGGTCAGGTGTAGGCTTGGTAATGGACCAAGGTCTATCAACCAAAGAGCAGCCAGGACAAATGTGGACAGACTCATCCCAAGAAGGCTGACCCCAGGAACTCAAGAAACTAAGCAGGGAAGGGCTGCATTCCATGTTGGAGGAGACAGTTCCCACAGAAATGCTATTGTGTCATCTTTAAATACCGTGGTAAGGCCAGTGGTGGCAGTGGGGCAGAGCATGGTGCAGGGGAGGGAGGAATGTCTTTGGAGGTAGGAAGACCAGGGTTCAAATCCTGCCTCTGATATACCCTGCATGGCTACAGATAAACTGATCTATACTGCCACACACTAGTTATGTGGCCCCAGACAAATCTCTAAGACCAGAAATAGAAAAAGCACCGAGTCTGGATTTAAATGACTTGGGTTTAGAGTCAATTCAACCAACATTTATTAAGCACCTACTGTGTGCCAGGCACTGTGCTAAGCACTGGGGATACAAAAAGAAGCAAAAGACAGTGCCTGCCCCTCAAGGAGCTTACAGTCTAATGGGGGAGACAACATGTAAACCAATATAGACAAACTAGCTCTATACAGGAAAAATGCGAAGCAATTGACAGAGGGAAGGCACTGGAATTAGGAGGGGTTGGGGGAGCCCCTGATGCTTTCTACCGGGGTGATCTTAGCAGGTCACTTAGCTTTACTTGTCCTCAGTTTCTCCACCTATAAAATGAGAGGGGTGGGTCAGAAGTCCCTAACAGCTCTGGATCTATGAGCATCTCTAATCCTAATTTGCAGATGAGTTGCTATTTTGCATTAGAGAATGGTATTTCCACCCTGGGAGTTCGATATATTCATAAAATCACAGATACGGACCCTTGCCCTCTCTTCCCCCAAAACGACACCAAGAAGTCCTATTTGGGTCCTAAGTGTCTGGGGGACAAGGCAGCATGGTGGGGTGAATGGAGAAGTGGCCTTGGGGTCAAGTCAGGAAGACCTAGGTTCAAATCCTGCCTTAGACATACCCTGGACATAAGGGCAAGAAGTCTATGAGGTTCAGGCAACTCCCTACAACACTGCTTATGTGGCCTCATCTACTCATCTACTAGTAACTCATTTACTGCACTGGCGGGAGTTCCCCCACCAAGAAAATCAAAAATCTTTGACAAAAGACAATTTTTATAATACTTTACAGCTTACAAAGAGATCTGCACCCTTTTTCCCATCTGATCCTCAAAACACAGGGTATTTAACTCCCATTTTACAGATGAGGAAAACGAGGCTGAGCACTTCAGTGATTTCACCCACAGATGAGTGGGGCCCGTGATCCCAGCTCATCTGACTCTTGGCCAGCACATTCATCCCCACAGCTGGGTATGACCCTGATCCTTCATGCTTGCCAAAATTCACAAATAAAGTTTATAAAGCCTTCTGTTTTAGCAAAAGCTAGAGCTCAGCTGGGGTGAAGGTGGGGGGGGGAGGTCTCAGCTTCTGGGTATGGTAAATCCTGCACACAATGGGAGGATCGAATGAGCTACTGGGTGGGAAAGCAAGTGGGGCCTCTAATATGGGACACACATGTGAAGGACGGTTATCATCATCATTCCACATCAACTGGGTGTGCGCTGAAACCATCGGAGAAGGATTTGGAAGTCTATTTGGGGCATGGGAGTGTTAAAAGGAGGGGAGAGCCAGAGGCATGATATTCTAATAACTGTCCCCATGTGTTTATTAGCTCTGCTAAGAAGGTCTGCAGCATCCTAGGAGGGATTTAATTACAAAATCAGATTGAACAGCTCAAATCTCATTATCACAGAGAACATGTGGAGAGAAGGCCCGGCCCAGCCCTGCCACTGTTTGACCTTGGTCAACTCTTGTCAGTCTGGGTTAGTCATTTTCCTCCTCTACAAAATGGGGACAATATCGATCCTCCCTTTCTTACCTAGGATTTGGGTAACTTTTTGAAAGAGGGGCTTCCTATCTTCTATTCTAGGAATGAGTATGAAGATAAAAGTATTGGACAAAGCTAAAGAAAGCAAAATAATTACAAACTATTAAGAAAGTTAGGAAGATCTGTTCCAAATTACTAATAATCAAAGAAATACGCATCAAAACAACAAACCCACACCCAGAAAACTGGCCAAGATGACAAAATATAGGGATCATCAATGGTGGCGGGGCTATGGAATGGGAGGGACCCTAATACATTATTGGAAGGAGTATTAATCGATCCAAACATTCTGGAAAACAATTTGGAAATGATGCTAAGAGAATGACTAAAATGCCCATGCCCTTGGACCCAGAGACTCAGCTGCTAGGCATATACCGCAAGGAGACAAAATATAGAAAAGTCTTGCGATACTAACCAGAATATATCACAGCAGCATGTCTTATAGTAGAAAAAAACTGGAAACAAAATAGATCCTGTTGATTAGAGGATTGCTGAACAGAGGCAACTAGGTGACTCAGTGGGCTTGGAGTCAAGAAGACCTGAGTTCAAATGTGACCTCAGACACATATTAGCTGGGTGACCCTGGGCAAGTCACTTCCCCCTGTTTGCCTCAGTTTCCTCATCTGTAAAATAAGCTGGAGAAGGAAAGGGCAAAACCACTCTAGCATCTTTGTCAAGAAAACCCCATGGACAGCACTGGTATGCTATGGTCTGTAGGGTCACAAAGACTGAACAACTGAATAACATGAACATAACAGAATATTACCGTATTGTGTAAAAAAAAAAAAAACAGTGAATTTACAAAATTCAGAAAAGCACAAGACTATTGAACTGATGCAAAATGGAACAAGAAAAGCCAGGGAAACAATGTACAAACTGACTATGATGTAAATGGAAGGATCGACCCAAAAAGAAACGGAATGTTCTGTAATTATAGTGACCAAGTCTGTCCAGGAAAAGAGAGATGAACAAATGTACCTCCCTCCCTTCAGGAACAAGTGAGGGCCTATGGGTGCGGCATACTGCATACATGATCAGACTCGATGAGTTGTTCAGTTTTCGTTAACTTTTTTTAAGCTTTCTTTTTTTATTCCTTATTATAAAATATGGAAGGATAGATCTGGAAATGAAAAAGGCTTCCTGCTCTGGTCCCTCATGGCTCCTTTGCGGTTTTCATAACAGAATTCCCAAAATGGTTTGAAGGGACAAGGGGGGCAGAGCAATGATTAGAGATTTAACAGAAGTTTAAAAAAAAAAAAAGGAACTATCTAACCCTAAGTCAGAGAGCTGGCTGGGGCCAAGGATGTTTAGTGAGAGTAGAAGATGGGCCATCAAAAGTATAGACCCTATCCTAATTAGAAGGCTTCTACTGGGTTTTGTGGACTGTCTAGAAACTCAGGAAACACACCTATCGGAGAGGCCTGGCAGGTGAATACAACACCCAGCTGGACAGCAGGGATGCCATAACTCTGAGCGGAAAGGACACACCAGCAGAGAGCAGTAGGATGGCATCCCCAAAGGATGGAAGCCATGCTCCGGCATCAGGGGTGTGAGATGTCCCAACCACACGTGTGTCCTAACTGTGTGCTCCCAGATAATGTGGGCTTGGCACACAGTAGGCACTTAAGTACTTGGTAAGTATTGATTCTCTGAATGGGCCTCACCTCCCCCCCATCCCCACACATACACACTTGGTGATGGGGTCGCTAACCTCCCACTGAATGTATCCCTCATGGCTGTGAAGGGGGATCTCTTCTTCTCATTCTGCACTGTGTGGGTAAGCTCCCTGAGGGCAGGGCTTTGTATCCCCTGACATCCAGTAGGTGCTCACTAAATGCCCACTGGTCTGAATGGAACTGGTGTGTTTCTTTCTGATGGACCAAATAAAGCGACATATCCGTGGGGGATCACAAGCTATGGCTTTAACGGGAGGCATCACATACCTGAGGCAGTCAGCTTTCAGGGACTCCATGTGTGAGAGAGGCACCATATTCTACATATTATATTCTTAAATGATAAGAAGAATTTGTGAAGTAAGTCAAAAGGTGTCGGCCTTTCCACAGGCCATGATGTTGAGGACAGATGTCGAAGGGTGAGTCCCCCATGTGGCTACTCCATACCTTGTTCACAGTGGGGACCGGTCCTCCCAGCTGGGCAGATGCAGGTGCCATGCACAGGGTCACAGGTCGCTCCCTCGCCACAGGCGCACACGTGGGCACAGTCTATGCCGTATCTCCCATCTAGGCAGACTGTGGAACAGGAGCAAGTTAAGGACCACACTTGGACCCCTAAACCACCAAGCCCCGGTCCTTGGTAGCCACTGAGCCAGGGACCGTGCTCTGCCCTGGGGATGTGGCCCTCGGGCATCTTACATCCTACAAACCAAATTGAGGTGATGTTATCAGGTTGGCCAGGGGACAGCGCTGTCACCCAGTCCCTCCCTTGGCGGCTGTCTCATGTGTGGGGTCTGGGAGCTGATCACAACCTTCAGAACGGCCCCTACTTCGGTGCCCAAGCGGGCAGGGCTCCTCTCTGCAATGCTCAGGTGAGTCCGAGCCTCTGTTTCCTCATCTGTAAAATGATGACTAGATGGTACCCAAGGTCCTTTTAGATCTCTAAGCTGTGATTCTGTGACCTCGTACAGGTCATGGAACCTCCTTGGGCCTCATTTCTCCTTCCCAGTAAAATGAAGGGTTGGCCCAGATAGTCCCTGAGGCCCTTTCTAGCATTCAGTCTATGTTCTAAACCTCAGGCCAGACCGCTGAGTAATCAGGAAATAATGTCCACAGGAAAACAGAGTTGAGGGAAGGGCCTTGGGGAAAGGTTTGTCCTTGCTGTACCCAGAGCTCTCTCTGCCTTCAGGAAAGCTCCCCCAGAGGCAGCAGCAATCTCTCCCAGCCCACCCCAGGCCTCTGCCCCCTCCAGCCTTGGTTTCCTTTGCAAAGTGATTCAAATTCTCCTTGAAGTGCACAGCCCAAGCAGGCTTGCTCATTGTACTGACAGGGAAATAGTCCCCATATGACTCAGATGAAAAACCCCTTCTGTAGACAATATTTTTGGCTGGGGTGACCCACCCCATCCCTACCCCTATCTCCGCCCTCACCCCCCTTCCTTCTCTCCAGCCCTGGAGTTGGCCAGAAAACATTCTGCCGGGGGCAGCCAAGGGCCTCCTGGTTGGACCCTTCAAAGGCTCCTGTGCCCTGGGGGGCTAGGAAGGTTCCTGGGCTGCTGTGACGGAATGTTCCCAGCTTCTTCCAGGTCTCAGCCCCAGGGAAGGGGGTACTGCATGGAGGCCCTGAGCCAGACTGGCCAGGCTCCATTAAGGACCCAGGTGTCTTTCCCCTAAAGGAGAGGGATATCCAGGGGAGTGTGTCCCCTACGTGCACTCTCTGTGTTCTAGACAAACAGGATCTCCAGCCGTTTGCCACTCTCCCTTTCCTGCCTCAGACCAGGGACACATTCCTCCTTATCTCTGCCCAGTAAAATGAGGCCCAGCCTGGGTACTGCCTCCTTCGGGAAGCCTTGTCAAATCCTAATCCTCCTAGAGGAGGTTTTTCCTCATTTCTCCTAGGGACTAGCAATTTCTTCCCCCAAAGTCTTTTGTATATATTTTCTATTTGCTTCACAGAATCAGTGATTTTTAAGAGTAGGAAAGAACTCAGAGCCGTCTGGTCCAACTCAGACTCAAAAGGAATACCCATAATAACATATCTGATGAGTGATTATTCAGCTTCTGCTAAAAGTCCTCCCAAGGGGAGGGGGCCATCTTATTTGTACGCTCATCTGCTTCCACATTAGTTCCCCCAATAGACTAAAAGTTTCTGGAGGGAGGGCAAAACTTTCATTTTTTTTCTTGTCACCCCAGAGCTCAGCATAGTGCCTGGCATATAGTAGGGGCTTAATATATGCTCAGTGATGGATTATGCACCTCGAAACATGGCCTAGGGCACGATGCTTGATCAGATACCATCCTGAGCCAGGACTCAGTCTCTGAGTCCTCCAAAGACACCAGCCCTCAATATCCCTCCCCCTCGACCTCCCACTCCTGGCCCGTAACCCTTCATCTTGGGGCTGGAGGCATCTTCAAAGAGTTTCCAACAAAGTCGTGAAAAGGTCAGGAGAGACGGATAGCTGCCATTACCAGCCCTGAGGACTCTAATCCAGCCAGTCTGTACGCCCCAAAAGGGTAGAACCCGTAACTATTATAAAAGTGAGTGGCAGTGTGGGAGACTGGAAAGAGGCTGAGCTTGGGAGCCTGAGGATCTGGATTCAAATCCTACCTGCAATACTTGTTAGCTCTGTGATTTTCAGAGAGTCATTTAAACCTCTGGGTCTCAGTTTCCTCATCTGTGAAATGAGGGGGTTTATCTTGAAGGTCCAAGCTCAGCCTCTATGATTCCAAGTAGCCTTCTGATTAACAAACAGGGCTGGGCAAGGGCATTTTGAGTCCCAACCCCCTTTCTCCACTCACTTGTCCTCCTTTGGAAAATGAGGCCTGTGAGGTCCGCCCTTTCCTGCTAGGAATCTATGTGTCCAGGGTGATATAAATGCGTCCCTTTCGGCTCATTTCGGGGCCAGAGCTGAAACCGTACCCACCTCTTTCTTTCTCTTTTAATAGCGAACCACTGAAAAGAAAGATTTCTTCTTCTCTTTTGAAAGTCAAGAAAACAGTTAGAAATAGTTCATCTCATGCCGTGTGCTTTCTGGCCTCTGAAGCAGCTCCTGAAGCGTTGCTATTCTTGACGCTGTCAATACGTTTTGTTTTTTCTGGAAAATCTTGGCTGCTTTGCTAACCAGGTCACGGCAAGTCGAGCTGGACGAGACCCTGGAAGTCATGGAGTCTGTCTCCCTAGTTTTACAGCATAAGCCTCTAATGCGCAGAGGGCAGAAGGCACCCAGGTCGCAGAGGAAGCGAGCCGGGGAGCCGGGATTCAAACCCAGTCCTCTGACTCCAAGGTAGGACTCCACTCTGTGGGGCCACACTGCCTTCAGTGGACGCCAAAGAGCTGAGTGTGAATCCAGCCCCATACACTTCCTACCTGTGTGACCCTGGGCAAGTCACTGTACCGCTGCCTGCCTCAGTTTCCCCATCTGTAAATTGGGGATAATAGCAGGACTTACTTCCCAGGGTTGTTGAGAGGATCAGATGAGATCATAATTGTAAAAGCTGTGGGTTTTTTGCTGTCTATTCTAAAAGCTATAACTTCTAGCTGCGTATGATTCACTTTGGGGATGGATTGGCCTAGACAGCCCGAGGTCCCCTCCAACATCTAGGCAGCAGAGCAGAGAGGAAAGAGGAGAGAGGACTGGACCTGAAGTCAGAGGACCAAGGACTCAGCTCTGCTATGTAATGCCTGAAGTCCTTAACGCCATTTAGTATCTCTCAGTCTGCCTCAGTTTCTTCATCTTTGAAATGAAAGGTCCCAGACCCTTATGTGATCTCAGGGAAGAAAGGAAAGGAGAGAGGAAGGAAAGAAGGGAGGGAGGAAGGAAGGAAGGAAGGAAGGAAGGAAGGGAGGGAGGGAGGGAGGGAAGGAAGGGCGGAGGGGAGGGAGGAGGGGGAGGGGGAGGGGGAGGGGGGAGGGGGAGGGGGAGGGAGGGAGGAAGGAAGGAAGGAAGGAAGGAAGGAAGGAAGGAGGGAGGGAGGGAGGGAGGGAGGGAGGAAAGGAGGAAGGAAGGAAGGAAGGAAGGAAGGAAGGAAGGAAGGAAGGAAGGAAGGAAGGAAGGAAGGAAGGAAGGAAGGAAGGAAGGAAGGAAGGAAGGAAGGAAGGAAGGAAGGAAAGAAGGAAGGAAGGAAGAAAACAAGCATTTAATAAGTGTGCCAGGCATTGTGCAAAGCACTTCACAAATATTTCCTCATTTGATCCTTACGACAAACCCGGGAGGTAAGTGCTGTTCTTATACTCATTTTACAGATGAGAACACTAAGGCTAACACTAAGAATGATTCGCCCAGGGTCACATAATTAGTAATCTGAGGTCAGGTTGGATCTGAGGTCTTCCTGACTCCAGGCCCAACGCTCTGTGCACTATGGCACCACCTAGCCACCTCTAAGGTCTTACTTCACTTTCCTGGGACTCAGTTTCCTCACCTGCAGGATGAAGGGGACAGTCTAGGGTAGACTCTAAGAGCATCTTCCTCCCATTTCTAAATCTGTGATCTCCTCAGGCTCCAAGTCACAGGATCTCACAACAATCTGAGTCTGTGATTCCGTCCTTCCCCTGGCCATATCCAGGGGGCAAGTCTTATCCTTATGAGGGGCTGGCTGTGCTCCTCCCCTCCCCCCATTGGGGGGGTTCACTCCTCTTCCTTCCCCAGTCCCCGTGGAAAGCAGAGACGGGCTTCCTCTTGTATCCCTAGCCCCCAGCGCCCAGCCTGGGCTCCCCGACTCACCCAAGCCACAGTCGGCACCAACGTAGCCAGGAGGACAGCGGCAGGCGCCCGTGCGGGCATCGCAGGAGCCCCCGTTCTGACACGTGCACGGGTGCTCACAGCTAGGGCCGTAGCGCCCAGAGAGGCACCCTGCAGAGAAGAGAGAGGGAGGGGCAGTCGGTGGGGAACACCTGCCCGGCCTCATCTACCAGACTGTCCCGGGGAGTAGACCTAGCTGGGCCCCAGCTTCCCAAAGCTCTGAGTCCTTCACTTTGCAGGGAGGCAAGGGATGAGGAGGAAAGAAAGTGGTAAGAGCCCATGAACTCCTGCCAGGCTCGGGTGTAGCAAGGATACAGGTGCGAGAAGGGGTGGGATGCTGCCACCGCGGAGGTGCCCAGGCCCCAGAGGGTGACACTCACGGAGTCGGCAGCCGCTGCCGTAGAAGCCAGCAGCACACGTGCACTCCCCTGTCGCTGGGTGGCAGTCCTGGTTTTCACCGGAGCATTTGCACACCTGGCCACAGTTCACGCCAAAGGTCCCGGGCCGACAGGCTGGTGAGAGGAAACACCATGAGATGCGATAAGGCTCCCTAATCCTGCTCAGCAAATCTAATTCAGTTGTTTGGCATACAGTAAGCCCTCCATAAATCATCTGTTGTTCATTTTCATTCACAGTTTCACTTCAGATCAACAAATGTTTGCCCCTGCTGGGTGTAGAACATTAAGCTAAGCACCTGCAATACAAAAATGATAAACCAGGCAGTCCCTGCCCTCAGGGAACTTACCATCTATTAGTGCTAAGGGCTGTGGGTAGAGATATAAGCATAATGCAATGTAGGACATGAGGGCGAAGGAACGATCCAGAGAAAAGTCTTCAGGGAAATAGGATGAGGGCACGGTCAAAGTCAACTGGGAGGGAGAAGGAAGGCTTCACGGAGGAGGCAGCTTTTGAGCTGGCCCTTGGTGGGAGGGAGGGAGGGACTTCGACAGAGTCATTTAAGGGAGAGTCTATTCCAGACACAGACACCTACTAGCTGTGTAACCCTGCATAAGTCACTTGTTTGTCTCAGTTCCCTCAAATGTAAAATGGGGATAATAAGGGCACCTACTGCCCAGGGTTGTTGTAAGGAGCAAATGAGATGATATTTGTAAAGCGCTTAGCATTGTGCCTGACACATAGCAGGTGCTGTAGAAACACCAGGTAGCATCATCACATTAGCATCATCATTGTTATTGTTATTATTATTTTTAAGGCAGTTGGGGTTAAGTGACTTGCCCAGGGTCACACAGTATTATTTTTTTGATACAGAAGATAATAAGAACAAAGACACAGAAGTAAGAGGGCCCATGAGAATGGGTGACAGAGACTAGTTTGCCTTGAATATTGAATAGGGAGGCAGCCATGGTGCAGCAGCGAAGAAGACCTGGGTTCAGGTCCTGCCTCTGACCCATTCTGTCCTTGTGTGGACAAGTCACTTAACCTCTCAGTGATCTAGGCAACTCCCCAAGACTATAATTTTCTTTTTCTTTCTTTCTTTCTTTCTTTTGTGAGGTGATTGGGGTTAAGTGACTTGCCCAGGGTCACACAGCTAGTAAGTGTGAAGTGTCTGAGGCTTGATTTGAACTCAGGTCCTCCTGACTCCAAGGCCAGAGCTCTATTCACTGCACCACCTAGCTGCCCCAAGACTATAATTTTCAAAGAAGGTTCAGATCTACATTGATAGGGGGTTTGCTCTTCTGGGAGTCCCTTCTATCAATCAAATCATAGCTCCATTTCTTATCCCTAGCAAATATATGAGGGTTGGACAAGAAAGAAAGGGCCAGGTTAGATTGTAGAAGGCCCCGAGTGTCTTCTGCGGGGCGAGGAGCTTCTAATTTAATTGGTAGGCAAACTAACAGAAGGTTGTTAAGCAGAGGAGAAAACTGAGCTATCTCTGTAGAGGATGGATGGGGGAAAGGACCAGCCAGAGACAGAGGGACAAGATGGAGGTGTTACTACAGTCTAGGTGAGACTGATGTTGGGAAAGATCAAAGGCAAAAGAAAAAGGGATGGCAGAGGGTGAGATAGACGGACAGTGTCATGGAAGCAAGGAACATGAGCTGGGACAGACGTGGAGGACAGAAAGGCCTGGCATGCTATGGCTCACAGAGTTGGACAGGACTAAGTAAACTACAAGTGAGATAAAATATGGGGAATGCAAAAGAATTTACCTCCTCGAAAGCAAGCATTATTCTTTCTTTTCTTTTCTTTTCTTTTTTCTTTTTTTTTTTTTGGTGAGGCAATCGGGGTTAAGTGACTTGCCCAGGATCACAGCTAGTCAGTGTCATGTCTGAGACTGGATTTGAACTCAGGTCCTCCTGGCTCCAAGGCCAGGGCTCTATCCACTGCGTCACCTAGCTGCCCCTATTCTTTCTAATCCATCTTTGTATTCCCTTAGAACCAACTACAGAAACTTACCAATAGACAACAGGGTGTTTGTGGACAGCTCAAAATGCCTTGTTGATAGACCTTCTGTATCAAGGGGAGGTGTGACATAGTAGAGAAGGCACCGGGTTTGAACACGTTTCCTGAGCATTCACTTGCTGTGTGTGACTTTGGACAGGTCACTTACCTGTTTTGTGCCTCAGTTTCCTCATCTGTAAAATGAGGAGATGGGTCTGGAAGTCCCCAGCCTCTCACCCATTCACCTTGTCCTGGTGCTTACCTTGCTCACAGCCGAGGCCGGTGAAGCCCAGGGGACAGCCACACTCTCCGGTAATGTGGTTACAGGCGATGCCAGGGGCACAGGCACAGCGCTGGGCACAGGCCTCTCCAAACCAACCTGGCAGGCAGGCTGCAGAGACCAGAGCAGGAAGCTATGAGGGCCCCTCAGGGGAGGGTGCCATGCAGGGCCAGGGACGGGGACAAGGAGCAGGCCGGGGGCAGGGCAGAGCTGTCAGACACAGGGCCCCCCCTGCGTCAGGGCAGGAGGGGCTTCAGGTGTTGGGGTTCCCAGCTGATGGCCCAAAGCTTGATCTGCAAAGGTACAAGGGGCCTGGCTGCACATTCCCTTCCATGCAGGTTTAAAGTTTGGGGGAGAAGAGGGAAAGGCAAAGGGAGAGGATGAAAATGGGGGTGGCTGGGAGATGTTAGGAGATGACGGAAGGGAAGAAAGGGATCATGGTCCTCCTGGGAGGTCATCCAGGCCAACTCCCTCCTTTTACAGGTGAGGAAAATGAGGCCCAGAGAGGTCAACAGGTGAAGCAGGTGGGAACCCAGAACCCAGGTTCTTAACTACAGGGCTCATGATCTGGAAGGAGAGGAGGAGGGGGCAGCAGGAAATGGGAAGTGAAGGGGAGAGGGAAGGAAAGCAAGAGACTGAGGAGAGGAGAAGGCAGAGGAGGGGAAGGGTGGGGGGGAGGAAGGGGAAGGGAAAGTGAGGCAGAAAGGGGAGAGGAAGGGAAGCAAGAGGAGAGGAGAAGGCAGAGGAGGGAGGAGAAGGGAAAGTGAGGCAGAAAGGGGAGGGGAAGGAAAGGAGGGAGAAGAGAAAGGGAAAGGAGAGAAGGGAGGAAAGGGGGAGAGAGGAAAGGAAGGAGCAGGGACTAGAGGGACCAGGGAATGAAGGGACAGGAAACCCCACTTGCCCCTGGCAGGCCCCTTTGGCTTCTCCAGGCCCAGGGCCATCCCTTCCCCAGTCTCTCACCTTTCTCACATCGCTGGCCCCGCCAGCCCGGGGGACAGAGGCAGGTGCCCGTGACAGCATGGCAGGCTGGCACGCCAGGTCGACAGTCGCACTGCTGGGCGCAGCGCAGCCCGAACGTGCCCTCTGGACAGGCTGCGGCAAAGCAGACGCACAAGGGGTGTGGAGGATGAGGGAAGGGGAGACAGCTGTCTGCTCCCAGGGTTTCCCGGGCCAATCCAAACCTCCCTCTCTAGACAGAAGGAACTAGCTCTCTGTTTTTTGTTTGCTTAAACCCCCAGGCAGTGGGTCAGGTTTCTGTCTGGGGCACGGTCACTGGGCCAGAGCCAGCAGGCAGGTCTTAAGGAGCCCAGGCTGAAGGCCCAGCCAGGACCCCCAGAGGACTTTGCCCGCCTTTCCCCCACCATGGGGCGTAGTCTAGGCTTGGAGCCGAGGCCCGCCATCTTTGGATTCTGACCTTTCCTAAGCCTCTGCACTCAAATACATCCAGGCCTGCCTGCCCTAATCCTCCGGAGGCTGGACCTTCCCATACATGGGCTGGGACCTTCCAGCCTCAGGAGAAGCAGCAGAAAGGAAAGGAGGCCGCCACAGGGCAGAGGAGAGGGATGCTTGGCCCTGAAGAACACTCGGGACTCAGCACCATCCCCTGATGCTGGCTTGGCTGGCAGGCCAAAGTCTAAACAACGCCCTCCCCTTCATCCTCACAGCTGGGATAGAGGGAGTGCTCTCAGCGGGTTTCCTGTGCCTACACTCACAGTGCAGGGAGACCCGATGCTGGCCAAGAGGCCAGAGCCAAGGCCCCAGGGCCTCCAGGAAGCTGACAGGTCCAGCATGCCCGATGACCTGGGCTGGGGACCAAGTCACCAGGGAGCCAGAGCAATAATGCCAGAAGATAGGGAGTGATGGGCCACGGTCCCAGGAGGGGTTAGCTCTGAGCACACACACGCTGGCTGGGCTAAAGGAAGGGGGTGCAGGGATTGTGGGAGGGAGGGACGGTGCATGCGATTCTGTGCATGAGACTGGGCAGACCCACCTGCCTCGAGCGTGGACGTGTTCATGCAGCCACGACTAAGACTAGGCCTAGGTCTGCGTCTGGACATCTGAGGGGCATACGCGGAAGGGAGACACACGTGCGGAAGGGAATCTGCTTCTGTGTGTGCACGTGTGTCAGGCATGACGGTGCATGTCCCCTCCAGCGTGTGTGTCTGGGATTCTGTGACTTGGTGCGGTTTTAGGTGTAAGCCTGTGTGGGTGCACACAGCTGTGTTTCTGTCCGGGCTTCTAGGTGACAGCATTTAGGGGTGAATGATGCGTGCCTCATCTGTGACTTACATCTGTGCTCAGGAGCAGCTGGAGGCCAGTGGACAGAGTGCTGTGCTCGGAGTCTGGCAGACCCGAGTTTAATGTCAACCTCAGGCACTTGTTAGCTGTGTGACCCTGGGTAAATCACTTGACCTCTGTTTGCCTCAGTTTTCTCATCTGTAAAGTGGGGATAATAATAGCACCTACCTCCCAGCGTTGTTGTGAGGATTAAATGAGATAATGATTGTAAAGTGCTTAGCACAGTGCCTGGCATACAGTAAGCTCTTAATAAATACTCCTCCCTCTTTTTTTCCTTCCTCCCTCCCTTCTTTCCTCTTTTGTTCTCTTCCTTCCTTCCTTCTCCTTCCTCCCTCCCTCCTTCCTTTCCTCCTTCCTTTTTTCCTTCTTTCTCTTCCTTCCTCCATCCTTTCTTCCTTCTTTCCCTCTCTCCTTTCTATTTCCTTCCTTCTTCTTTTCCTCCCTCCCTTCCTTCCTTTCTTCCCTCCCTATTTCCTTCCTTTCCTCCTTCCTTCTCTCCCTCCTTCCTTCCTTCCCTCCTTCCTTCCCTCCCTCCTTCCTTCCTTTCCTTCCTTCCTTTCCTCCTTCCTTCCTTTCCTTCTTCCTTCCTTCCCTCCCTATTTCCTTCCTTCTCTCCCTCCTTCCTTCCCTCCCTCCTTCCTTTTCTTCCTTCTTTCTCTTTCTTCCTTCCTCCCTTCCTCTCTCCCTCCTTCTCTCCCTCCTTCCCTCTCTCCCTCCTTCACCCTTCCTTCCTTTCTTCCTTCCCTACCTGCTTCCTTCTTTTCTTCCTTCTTTCTCTTCCTTCCTTCTCTCCCTCCTTCCTTTCCTCCCTACTTCTCTTCCTTCCTTCCCTCTCTCCTTTCCTTCCTTCCTTACCTCCCTTCCTTCCTTTCTTCCCTCTCTCCTTTTCTCTTTCCTTCCTTCCCTCCCTCCTTCCTTCCTTTCCTCCTTCCTTCTCTCCCTCCTTCCTTCTTTTCTTCCTTCTTTCTCTTTCTTCCTTCCTCCCTTCTTCCTTCTCTCCCTCCTTCCTTCCTTCCCTACCTACTTTCTTCTTTTCCTCCTTCTTTCTCTTCCTTCCTTCTCTCCCTCCTTCCTTTCCTCCCTACTTCTCTTCCTTCCTTCCCTCTCTGCCTTCCCTTCCTTCCTTCCCCCTCTCCTTCCTTCCTTCCCTCCCTCCTTCCTTTCCTCCTTCCTTCCTTCCTTCCTTCCTTCCTTCCTTCCTTCCTGACTTCTGTGACTGTGTGCATGCATGTTCATGTCTATTTATGGCGGGCTAGTGTGGCAAAGGGCAAAGAGCCCTGACCTAAGTTCGCACTCCACCTCTAATGTTGCCTCTACTACCTGGCCAAAGTCATTCACCAACCCGAGCCTCAGTTTCCTCATCTGTAAAAGGACCAGGTGGCATCTGCCTAGCATTCTTCTAACTCTATATTCATGGCACCCTATGCCTCTTGACTCAAAAGAATAAATTCTTACAGATATAAATTAATTATAAATATAAATTTATAACAAAATAATTCATAAAAGGAACTCCCCTGTCTTGTTTTTGAAGCTCCACCCTGTCTTCCAGACTCACTGCACATGCCTCCCCCTCCAGCCCTCTCTGATTTGGTCTGATGGCTCCTCCCTCTGTCTCCCACCTCCACACCTTTGCACTGTCCATTCCCCCTACCTGGAATACATTCCCTCGTGACCCCCGCTTAGAGACAAGCTGCATCTCCCATCTGGGTGTTCAGCTCCACCACCACCTTGGACACGAAGCCTTTCTAGATTCCCTTGACTGTACGTGACCTCCCTCCCTAATTCCCTAGCATCTATAGTCTCTTTTTATGCATTCTGGATACATGTCTTCTTGTCTCCCACGTTAGAATGTAAGCTCCTTTGAGCAGGGGCTGTTTCACTGATTCTATTTCTATCCTCCAAACCCAGCTCTGTGCTTGGTACACAGTAGGTGCTTAATAATTTTTTGCTGCCTGGATGTGTACATAGGTATCTATTAGAACGTAAGCTCCTTGAGGACAAGAACTATCTTCTGCCTTTTTTTTTAAATTCTCGGTGCCTGGTACATAGTAGGCGCTTAATAAATGTTGATTGAATTGAATTGAAACTGCATCTGTGTGTCTATGCTCATTTGTACGTGTGTGTTGACTGTATGTGTTCACACGCATCTGTGTCTCTGTGTTTCTAGGACAGCATATCTGAGGACATGGCTTGTGTGGGTGTCTGGGTGATGGTCACTTACGGCTCTGACACTTGTCTCCAGTCCAACCAGCCCAGCAGGTGCACTCCCCTGTGCGCCGGTCACAGTGGCCCCCATTCAAGCAGTCACAGCTCCTCTGACAGTCAGCCCCAAACTTCCCGGGAAGGCATTCTAGGGAAGCCAAGAGTGACAAGAGAATCCCCAGTGTCCCAGGAAGGTAGCTAGCCAGGAAGAAGCCCCTGATAGGGCTGACCACCCTTCCTCGTCGGGAGGATGGCAGGGGCTGTGTATTTCCATCCCTGTTTGTTCGAAAGCCACAACAGAGGAAGATGTGGTGACAAAGGGTCCCACAGTGGGACCAAACTGGGAATTAGTCTCATGCGAACCTCCTTCCCTTTACAAACCGCCAAGCTCTACAGGTCCTAAGGACCAGGGCACCCCTGGGAGGGGTGAGTTTGATTGGCAGACTCCTGCTTGGGATAAATGAAGCTGTCTAATGACAGAGGGATATAGGAGAAAGGGATTTGGAGTCACTGCTCTTGACTTTAAACCACAGTCCTTTTGTATGCTTTCTGTGTGATTTTGGGCAGTCACTCTACGCCCTAGCTAGGTCTCAATGTCCTCTTCTATACAATGGGAAGATTGGATGGAAAGACCTCTAGCTCTTAATTCTCCTAGGCCAGACAGCCGCCACGCCCCGTCTGTGTTCCTCCTCCCTCTCTCTACCACTCCTTTTCCAGAAGTTTGCCAGGATCCCCAGGGGAAGGAGGAACACAAGAAGATATTTACTCTGTGTGACCTCCATCTCTCTGGGCCTCAGTTTCTCCATCTACAGAATGGGGGATGAGGTTGGAAGAGATGGCCTCTGAGACCCCTTCTAGTCTGTACCAGATTCCAGTCCCTGCTGAGGTCAGGGGGGTATCACCATCAGCCTTCTGGTCAACCTGATTCCCAGTAATAACTGGGGCATCACCCTTAGTCCTCCGGTCAACCTGATTCCCACTATGATCCTGTAATTATCGTTCACGTTTTTATGGCGCTTTAAGGGATATAAAACACCTTTCCTACATTGACCCCCATGGGATAGGAAGTCCTAATACTACTTCTGCTTTACAGATGAAGAAAACTGAAGCTGGTCCATGACCACAAAGCTAGCAAATGTCAGAGCTGGGATTCGAATAGAGAGCTCTCCTTACTCCAAGGCCAAGGCTGTCACCTGAATACATGCACACAAGTGAGATACACACACATACACACGCATGTACGCATGAGGCATGCCCATGAAACCGCACATGAGGCTTTGGGGAGGCCCGCCCACCCTCAGGATGCTCAGATCCATCTCCAGGCTCCTTCCTCACACACACCACCCCCTCCATCCCTCCTTCTGGCCCTTTTCTTTCAGGCTCACCTTGCTCACAGGCCAGACCAACCCACCCTTCTGGACACAAGCAATGGCCTGAGATGGGGTCACAGGTCCCACCATTCCGACAAAGGCAATGTTGGTGACAATTTGATCCATATAGGCCCGGCGGACAAGCTGGAGGGAAGCAGAGAGAACCTCAGGTAGAGGTTAGCACCATGCCCTCCAGAGGACAGGTGAGAAAACCAGAGAGAAGTGGGGAAGATCTGAACGGAAGAACTTTCCCTAGACATAGATGAAGGAGGCAGCCACCTTCTCCCCCAACTCGAGCCCCTAGGACCTGCTACCCCAGTGAACAGTGGGCAGTGAGGAGGGCGGCTGGGGACCCAGGACTTACGTTGTTGGCAGGTGGGCCCCATCCAGCCGGGGGCACACAAGCACTGCCCACTGACTGGGTGGCACGAGGCCCCGTGGAAGCAGCTGCAGGTCAGGCTACAATTGTCCCCATAGGTGTGAGCTGGGCAGGCTGCAAGGAGAGAAGCAGGCTTGGGTGCTGACCAGATGAGACTGGGAGCTAAAAGCCCCCAGTGGGGGGAAGAGGGGGAGGAGGAAGAAGGGGCAGAGGCAGGGAAAACCAGGACCCTGGAAGGGAAGTAGCTGTAAGAGCCTATGATTGCTTAGGCCATTCCCCGAGGAATAAGCCCTTCTCCATCTGTCTGACATGCCTCCAGGCCCTACTCAACACATGTCAACGAGCATTTCTTAGATGACCACTAGGTGCCAGGTGCCATGTGTGGGAGATAAAAAGAAGTAAAGGAAACAGGTCCTGCTTTCAGGAATCTCCATTCTCCCAAGGTTCACACCATGTACCCCAGATAGGACAGTACAAGGAAAACCCAGGCCCCTGGAGAAGATGATCAGCCAGTCATTACGGGCTACTCACCAGCATGTCAGCCCTGGGCTGGCTTCTCCTGCCCTGTGTTCCCTGACGCCGACCACCCTCTCCTTCCCTCATCTCCCCCAATGTGTCAGGGACGCATGGGCTCCCCCATCCCCCAAGCTAAGCCATAACTAGGACCTAGCCGGGCTAGGACCACAACTCACTCTGGTTGCAGCTGGGGCCTATCCAGCCGGCAGGGCAGAGGCAGCCACCGCTCACGTGATCACAGGGGGCCCCATTGGCACACTGGCAAGCACCCCGACATTCCAGGCCAAAAAAGCCAGCAGGGCATTCTGTACGGGACACAGTCACCAGGCAGTGAAGAAGCAGCCCCTGCCCTCCTGCTTTCCTCTAGATGGGCTAGGGGCAGGGGTGGAGGGGAAAGGGATTTTGATGGAGTGCTGAGTCAGAGGATTTCAGTTCAAATCTGGCTGCTGACACCTCTCCTGTGAGGCCTTAGACTAGTCACTTTGCCTTTCTGAGCCTCAGTTCTCCCATCTGTAAAATCAAGGGGTTGGCCAAGATGGCTTCCATCTCCCAGTTTATGATCTATCCTGACCTTGGGCACGAGATTTTACCATTCTTGTACTCAATTTGCTCACATGTAAAATCCGAGGGTTTGGCTTTTGGTTAGCTTTAAATCTAATTTTATAATCTTTGGGGATTTGCCTCTAACCAGCTCGGAACAGCACAGGTTAGCCAAGTCCTGACCTCTTCCCTTGCTCCCTGCCTCTCCAGACAGACAAACTCCCTCCCGACTGCACATTAGCCAGTCCTCCAGGCCTCTCCCCTTCTCGCACTAAGCCAGAGGCTGGGTTTTTCTTAGGAAAACCTCAGTGGCTTGGTTTCCATGGTGCCTACAGATGTGAGAGGAAGACCTGCTACCCAGAGCCCTGAGAAAGATTGGAAACCCGCTCCCGGCCCCCTAACAAGATAGGGATGTAGGTTTACTTAGGAGGACGCCCCTCCCCTCTTCTGATATCCAGAACCCCTGAAGGATCACTGAAATGATTTCTCAATGATACAGGAAAGAGGTGTGTAAATGACAGGGAAAAAAAGGGGAAAGAAGAAATATAGGGGAGAAAAGCAGAGCCTGGGCTCAAGCAGACCTTGTCCTGCAGGCTTTGAACCAGAGTACATTATAGCCTGAGCCCTCAATATTCTGGCCCTTCCTAGCCTGGGCCTTCCAGGGCTGGGAAGGATCTGGAGTTTGGGGGAGTCATGTAGCTCTAGAAAATGGCCTGGGCACCTCCTCTAAGGGAGCAGGGTTAACAGAGGCCCCTTGGGTAGGAGCCATCTCTTTTTCCCTGGCTCCTCTCAAGGTATCTACTTATGGCAGGCTACCCTGGAAGCTCAAGGTATTTGACAGATGCCAACAGGATTGGCAGCAGGGTAAGTTATCGACAGCCAAAGACCTAAGGAAGAGAAGCACCAGCTTGTGAACTGCAGTGTGGATGGCTTTCTCACCCTGGCAGCGCTTCTTCCTCCCCCTTTGGCTAGCTGAGGCAGAGGGCCCATTCCCCTGCCCTGGGCCAGGCCAGAAAAGGAGCGGGGATGCTCCACCACCCAAGAATACATTGCTTTTGGCAAACTGGGAGCTGAAAGCACGGGTGCTTTTCTCCAAGATTCCTAACCCGCTTAAGCTACATGCAGCCCACTTGTGACCACTCTTCTTTCCCTCCCTGATACAGGGGCATCATACACACCGTAAAGAGGGAGAGGATTGGGATCATTTCATTCTGCATGAAATAATGTCTGAGATCCTTTGTTCAGAAGGCTGGCTGGCTCTTTTCCAGTCCTTACCTCTCTCTCCAGGACTCTTCCAGGAAGCAAATAATAATCCCACTGACCTTTGATGCCACCCAGACAGAGTGAGTTAGGATCAAGGAGTTCAAATGAACAAGGGAGGGAAAGTGCTAGGCGTGGGGAGCAGAGAGGGGAAGGCAGAGGAAAGCAGTGACCAAATCCATGCTTAGACTAGGAGAAGGGTAGAAGGTGAGGGCCCTGAGCTCCCTCCCACTGGGTCAGGGAGAACAAAGGCCCCTGTGCTGGAAGAGTGAGAGATTAAGCTCAATCATAACATCTTTGGGTCAGAGATTGAGAGCTGAAAGGGGTCGTTCAAGGCCAACTCCCTCGTTTTACAAACAAAGAAACTGAGGCACAGAGCGGTTAACTATATTGTCTAAGATCTCACCGCTGGAAGTATCCAAGGTGGGATTTGAACTCAGGTCTTCCTGGCCTTCAATTAGGTTTCCTTTCCACTAGAGAATGGAACATCTTGCTGCTGGAGGAGAGACTTTGTGATATGATGAGAATAAAAGCTCCAGGCTCGGGGCAGCTAGGCCATTATCTAAGACTATAAATTACAGAGAAGGTGCTCATCTGGATTGGAAGTGGGTTTCTTCATTGGGAGCTCCCTGAACAGACAGAGGCTCATGGAACACTTCCCCGCTTCCCCCTCACCTGCCTGTCCTGGTCTCTCCCCAGCACACCAGGACCCTTGTGGCACAGGGACACAGCCAGGCCAAATATCTCCCTGTTGACTTTTCAGGATTATCCCTGGGAGAGGGATCCCTGCCCAGGCATCCTCCTGTTTCCAGAGATGGGCACACTGGATGCCAGAGGGGCTGAGCTAGGATTCGGGCCCTTGTCCTCAATCCCAGCCTCTCAGCTCCCCTGGGATGGTGGTGGAGGGGGCACTGCCAGACTCACCCCGCTCACAGAAGGTTCCCCTCCAGCCGGCCCCACAGGTACAAGCCCCGCTCACATGGTCACACGCTGCTCCGTGGTCACACTGGCATGGTCGGCTGCAGCTCAGCCCAAACCAGCCTTGCGGACACTCTGAAACACATCGACAACTGGTTAAAGCCAAAAGTGGGCTGCTTATCTCCCCAGGTCCACCTCCTTCCCTTTACTGATGGGGGGTGGGGGAGAGAAGCTCAGAAATCAGACCAGATTTGCCTCTTTCCAGTGGGCTGAGCACTGACTACTGTTGGGGTGGGTTAGGGCCTCTTTAAAACCTAAAGTCTTCCAAAGACAAAGTGAGAGCTCACTGGCCTCCCTTGCCAGCCTACTTGGCTGGGTCTCGGCAGAGCCCAGGGTCAGAGTCATGAGCAGTGGGGAAGGAGCTAGGGTGGTCCAGGAAAGACCCCACCATGGCCTGGGAAGGCATGCCTGGGTCCACTTTTAGCCAAGGTCACCTTGTTCCAGTTACTAAGCTAAGCTCCAAATGGGTCCAGATCATCCATTTAGAGCCCAAGGGGCTTCACAGGTCCCTAGTCCAATGCCCTCATTTTACAGAACAGGAGGGGAAGTGACTTGCCGAAAGTCTCACAGAGAAGTGGGCAGAATAGGCATTCGAACCAACTCTCCTGGCCTCAACGCCAGCCACCTTTCCGCTGCAACATACCCCTTGCTACAGGTCCATAATATCTTCTGACTTAAGGTAAAGAGTCTGGCACAGGAGAGAGTACTGACTTCAGTCAGGGGATCTGGGTTCAAAATCTTCCCCTGATGCTTACTACTGTGTGACTTTGGAGAAGTCACTTAACCTCTGCCGGCCTCAGTTTCCTCCAATGTAAAATGAGGGGCTTGGACTAGATGACTTCAGCGGTCCCTTTTAGCTCTAAATTTATTAATCTTATAAAACCTCCCTTTTTAGTAAGACAATACTTTGTCAAGCCGTCCTCTGTTTTAATGATGGGAATAGAAATAGGCTGTGATATTTCCCCCTCCCAACCCCAAACATCAGTCTAGATGAGCTCAGAGTAGAAGGGTCCTGCTCAGCCCACTGGAAAGAGGCAAGTCTGGCCAGAATGCTGAGGTTCCCCTCCCCCATCAGTGAGGGGAAGGGAGTGGGCCTGGGGAGACAGGGATGGAAGAAGGGAGCCCCCAAGAGGTGCCCGTTGGGTCACTGTGACCCAGGAGATCTTCCTCTCATAGGCCACAGGACAACCCCCCCCCCATGGGTGGCACTCACTCTGGTCACAGCGCAGACCAGTGTAACCGGCCTCACAGATGCACTGCCCCCTCACTGGATCACAGCTCCCGTGGTTGTAGCTACAGTTGCAGAAGTGTCTGCAGTCTGGGCCCCAGCGCCCCACGTCACAAGCTGAAACAGAGCCTTAAGTCGCTACTCTGCCCCACCGAGGGGCCTCCCAAGCAGAGATCAGCTGGTGACAAAGGGGGCCTGGGGAGACACTGTCTAGGAGGTAGGAGGAAGTGTAGGGGAGCTGAGCCATGCAGGGGTCAAGGGGAGGGGCAGGAGGCAGGGAGGCGACAATGGGAGGAAGCATCCAGAGAGCAGGCTAGGATGATGGTGGGCATGGGGCGCTCACTCCCCTCTATCCCAACTCCAAGGAGTCAATCTCAAGGCACCCCCAAGGAGCAGAGTCCCTGGCACATACAAAGAAGGTAACAGAGGAAGCCTCTAGTCTGAGTAAGGGATACACAGAGCTTATCAGGACCACAGGACACAGAAGATCAAGCTGGGGCAGGGGAGAGGAATGTCACAGAATGTCAGGGTTGGGAGGGAACCTAGAACATGGGATGTCAGAGCTGGGAAGGACCTTAGGGACAGGGAATGTCAGAGCTGGGGGGGACCTTAAAATATAGAATGTCAGAGTTGGGAAGAAACTTAGAACAGAGAATGTCAAAGCTAGAAATCACTTTAGGCCACAGAACTTCAGAGTGGGGAAGTACATTAGGACATAGGGTTAAAATTGTTGGAGGACTTTATAATACAGGTTGTCAAAAATAAAAAGGACCTTAGAACGTAAAATGTCTAAGATACACAGGATCATAAAATGTTAAAGGCAAAAAGTTCCTGAGAATATAAAACAGAGACTATCAGTGTTGGGCAGGGGGGCATGGGGGCAGGGGTGGGGGGAGAGTACCTAGAACATAGGATGCAAGAGCTATAAGAGAATGTTAGAGCTGGGAGGACTTAGAGATGGTCTAGTCCCAAAGCCCCCTTTCACAGACGAAAAAGTTGAAGCCCACAGAGGTTAAGTGATTGGCCCCAGGTCACACAGATGGTAAGGAACAGAGCCCAGACAGCAGGGGACTGGAGCCAGAATTCACAAGATGGGGAGGATGTGATTCTGGCCAGAGGCTGCAGGATTCCCCTTTTTGCCATGGCCTTGGTCTGCCCCAGCCACTACCTGCCACCCACCTCGTCTACAGTTGATGCCAGTCCAACCAGGGGCACAGCTGCAGCGTCCAGTCACAGGATGGCAGTGCCCATCATTCCCACAGGAGCATCGGAGCTGGCAGCCCTGCCCAAACGAGCCCGCTGGGCACACTGTAGCAAAGAGGAGAGAGGAGTGTGATGAGCCCCTGACACAGGAGGCAGGCCATGTGGGCATCTGTGCCACAAATTTCTGGTCAATCTCCCAATGGGAATGAGGAGGGCACTTACGGTCCTGGCAGTGGCTGCCAATGTATCCAGGGAGGCACAAGCAGGCTCCAGTCACGGGGTCACAGCCAATGCTATTGTCACAGGCAGGGCAGATTTCTTGGCATCCAGGGCCCCAGCGCCCGTCGGGACAATCTAAACCCCCAGCCCAGCCCAGCATAGAGGGGTCAGTATATGCTCAGACCAGACTTTCTTTTTTCCTGAAAATACTGACACAGGTAGACAGCACTTTGGAAGGGCTGGAAACACCATCTCTTGGGGCAGCTAATTTGGTACTAAACGTGGGAAGGGAGTCTGGCCTCCACAGAATCTTCTGCGGATTTCTTCATTCGGTCAGATGTTGGGGAATCAAGGGAGGGGTCTGTGGTGTATGTACGTGTGTATGTGTGAATGTGTGCACACATGTTCATATGTGTGTATGAGCAGCATATCACTCAAAGGGAGTGGAAAACCACTCAGAAAAGTGGTCCACTGTAATGAGAGAATAATAACAATATGAATACATTAATAACTGTAATATATATGTAACACATTTATATATAAATATAATTATACACTCATATTAATAATATAATAACCATTCATTAAAGTGGTTTACAGTAAGGAAATAATAATAACTAACAATGATGATGGCAATTTTAATAATATTAGTGATAATAAGGATGGGGACTAGCCTAGGTCAACAATTTCATTGATACAGAAAACTCCTGGATGAGAAAACTCCCTTCACTAAGGCAGGTCAGTACCACCACTGCAATTTATGGTTTTAAGAGAGTTTCCTAGTCCACTCAGAAGTTAAGTGACTTGTCCAGGGACACACAACCAGTATGTGTCAGATGTGGGATTTGAACCAATATTCTTTTATCTAGTTATACCACCTCTCCCCACCTCCCCCGAACAGCTGGGGAAGCTGTTCCCTTGGAATGGCAGAGAGGAGGGGTGGCTGGCATGGAGCCAACAGCCCCAGTCCTCAGACACTCCTGCCCAGCCGGTCTCTCACCTTTGCTGCACTCATCTCCAGTCTTCCCTGCAGGACACAAACATTGTCCTGTGAACCGATCACAGGGGGCCCCTCCACAGGAACAGGACCCAAAACAATTACTGCCAAATTTTCCTGGGGGACATTCTGTGGGACAGAAACAGTCAGCTTTGTTCAGAAAGTCAGCCTCGTGGGTCTGAAAACTGTCTCCCAAGCCCTCCCAAACACATTTCAGGACCTCACATCCTAGAAATAGAAATAGAAGTGACCTGAGAGGCAATCTGGACCAATACCCTATGTTGTAGACGAGGTCCAGAGAGATCAGGTGGGATTAGTAGGGATACACAGGGAGAAGGTGACACAGTTGTAATACTTATAGTCTTCTTCCAACTTTGGCCATTCAAACAAAGCTTTCCAATTCTGCAATCCAACACACAGTAGACTCTCTAACTCTGCAAGTTCTGTTAGGAAATGGGCCTGAGGAATGACCCCTATAGGTTAAAGAACAAGGCGGCACCAAGGATAGGCAGGCAGAAGTCAGAGTCAAGTGTCTAAAGTCAGAGGTGAACAAAGCTAAGAGGTCAGATCTGGTCCATGAATGTCATAGGCTAGACAAGATATTGAGGGCTCTGTCCAGTACCCTGGATAGCTCCCTAGGAAGGAAAATGCATGGAAGATGTCTAAGGCTGAGATCCAGACCTACTCGGTTGACTCCACCCCTCTGGTCTCTGGTTATTAAACAGAACTCATCCACATATGCCCAATTTGTTCTCTATGGTACATGGGTTCTTTTCGCAGAAAGATTTTGGTCTCCATGTCAGAGGGGAGGTCATGGTTTTTGGTGAGACGTGAGGCTCCACAAGAGTGTCCATATTCCCTGGAGCTCAGGAAAACAAGTCAAGGTGAGGAGGAAAAGAATAATCACTAAACAATTCACCTTCTATAAGCTCTGTCTCTTAGGGATCACATGCTCCATTCCATGGACTCCCCAGTATCCCTGAGGACAGTGGCTGATAAGCAACTCAACGAAAGACTTAATTGGATGGGGAGACATCTTCCTCCTTCATACCACAGGGTTCATTTTAAGCATGGTAGGATGGCCCTAGAAGGCAAAGGCATATTTATCCTCTCTGCCACACTTTTGAGCTCTTTTTTTTTTTTTGGAAGGAGCAACAAAGAAGATGAAAGGAACACACACTGTTGGACAAAGATACTGTCCTTTAGTCAGACCTTCTGCACATACACTCCGTGGAAGCTTCCTATTCCAAAAACACTACCTTTCCCTGAGCGTCTTTGTGGAAGACCAGAGGCCCTGAAATACCTTCAGATACTCCTGTCCACCAAGGAGGAGGAATGGAAGCAGAGACAGACAACAACGATGCCAGGAAGTCAACAGTCCATACGGTATTTAACACAGGGTTCAGATAAATAAGAACTAGAGTCTTTTGTAGGAAGGTGATCATAAATGGTGGAGCTAGAAGGAACCTTTGAGATAATGCCCACGAGGACACTGAGGCTCAGGAAGCCTAAATAGCATGTTTGTGCTCACCTGGTTGGTATCAGACACAGAAATGGAACCCAAGTCTCCAGACTCATGGTCCAGTGCTCTGGGAACCAAGGAGGTACTCTGGAAATCCTTGTTGACTTGGCTTGTGAGGGAAGTGTGTCATCTATGCAGTCAAGTGCAAATCATGACTGGACGCATCCAGAGCTCCCTGAACCTGGGATTGACACACTACCATCCTTTAGGCTCCCACCCAAGTTCAAAATCTTGAACTCAGCTTTGACTCCTCCCTCTCCTTCACCCCCCATGTCCAATCAATTCCCAACTCTTGTTTCTACTTCCCAAACATCTCTTGCAATCATCCTTTCTTTCCACTGCCCCAGCTACCAACCTGATTCAGACATTCATCACCTCTCATTTGGACTATTGCAAGAGCATTCCAATTGGTGTCCCTGCCTCTCCCCTCACCAATGTGTCCTCAACACAGCTGCCAAAGTCATCAGCCTAAAGCTCAGGTATCAATGCATCACTTGTCTACTTAAGAATCTCCCATGGTTCCCTCTGGCCTCTGGGACAAAATGCAAAGTCCCCTTTTAGGCTTGTGAAACCCTTTGTAATCTGGCTCCTACCCAGCCTTCCCGATTCATATCATTTGGCATTCCCTTCCATTTGTTGGCCTCCCAGCTACTCCTCATATATGACAATCCATTTCCTATTGCCATGCCCTTGTGGCTGGTGGTCTCCAATGTCTAATACACACTCCTTTCTCACCTCCACCTCTTGGAATCCCCAAATCCCTTCCAGGCTCAGCCCATATTCTGCCTCTTACATAGGGTCTTTCCTAATGCCCCCCATTTGCTATTGTATCCCCCCCCCATTATGTTGTCTATATACTGGATTTACTTTTCTGTGTATGGAATGGTTTTTCCCCAGTAGAACAAAGGCAGGGGATTGTTTTAATTCTGTTCTTGTATCTCCAGGGCTTCAGATAGGTCCAGGTATCTTTAAGATATTTACTAAATGTTTATACAATGAATGAATGAATGAACCAGCTCCCTACAAGCAGTCTAAAATTTCATTTCATTTCTCTGTCATTCTAGTGTCTTTCAAGGCACCTCAGAACCACAGACCTTTCCTCAGCTAAGCTATGAAAAGAAAGCCCCAGGCTCGTGATCTGCAGGGGAATTCCCCGTTCTGCAAATATATTGCCTCATGCCTCCAGCCTGCCTTGCCCACAGCCATCCGGCTTCAATCCTTTCATCCCTTCAAAGGCTAGATAACCCAGAATAGTGTTCAAGGGCCAGAGGCCAAGGGAGAAGGGGCCGGTCTTTCCCATGTGCCCACAGCTCCTGGCAAGTCAATCCTCTCTGGTTCCTAGTGGAAGAAAAATGACCGAGCATCTATTGTGAGATGAGACAGCCCCAGCCCCGGGGCTGTTTGTCTAGAGAAAGGCCTAAAGATGGCAAAGCCTCCTTGGCCCTCCGCATTCCAGCAGCCAGGGGAAACACAAAACCACTACTGATTTTAAAGTCTAAACAGCCGGGGCTAAGAGTGGAAACTGGATCCCGCTGGTCCAACTGACTCATAATGAGTGAAGGGCAGACTTCAGAGTGTTTGGCAGGGACTGGGAAATCATGTGGCCCGGCATGTTTATCTGAGGCTTATGCAAACAGCTCTGCCTTAGAAATAGGTCTAGAAAACATGGGATTCCCAACACTTCTTAATTTGGCACACCACAAGCGGGGTCGCACTTACCCAAAGCCAGGCCTCTGTCCTTGCACTGAACCAAGGGTCCAGAGAGGTTTGCAAACATCAGCTCACACAGACGCACACCACACCACACATGCAACTTGACCATTAGGCTGAGTGGGGCCCACGTATACTTCCCAACACTAGAGAGCTGGGGTGAGCTACACTCTGGTGGCACAACAGCCTCTGAACCATAGTAGGGACAGCTCAATCTTTCTTCCAGGCCAGTTGTATGCACGGCATATAGGGTAGGAGAGATATCAGCAGATGGCCACTTATAACAGTATGCCCTCTCTTCAAATCCATCTGCTTTATATGCATCTTCTATGGACCTGGTTACTTAAAAGTCTTCCCCAGTAGAAATGATAAGCTTCTCAAGGGCAGGAATATGTTTGTTTGCTTTTTTTTTCTTTTCTTTGTATCTCTGGTGCTTAGCACAGTGCCTGGAACACAGTAGGTGTTTAATAAACATGTCTTGACTGCTTGACAATCCCCATCATCTATCTGGGAAGATTTAGATGTGGTCCTTCCCGGAGACGGGATATTAATAAAATGACCTTTTCAAGGTCATTTTCTGCCCTCAAATTCCATTTTCTGCTCCTTGACTATGGGCAAGACACTTAACCTCTATGGGCATCAATCAATCAATAAACATATTAAGTGCCTACTATGTGCTAAGCACTCTGCCCTCAAGGAGCTTCCTATCAAATGGGGATAATGACGGCTAGCAATTCTAAAGAGTTTTAAAGTCTGCAAGCATTTTACAAACATCACCTTGTTTTATTCTCCCAACAATGCTTGGAGGTAGGTACCACTATTATCTTCACTTGACAGATGAGAACACTGAGGCAGAAGTAAATGACCTGCCTACAGGCACACAGCTAGTAAGTGTCTAAGGCAAGATTTGAACTCAAGTCTTAATAACACCAAGCCCAGAGCCCCAGCCATCTCAGTTTTCTTATGGGTAAAATGGATCCTATATGATCTTCTGTTTACAAATAGAAAATGCAAGGCAATCTATAGAGGCAGAGCCCTAGATTGAAAACCAAAGGATCTATGTGACCTTGGACAAGTCAATTAACCTCTATGGGCCTCAGTTTCTTCATCTGTGAAAAAGAGAGTTAAACTAGACCGTCTTTAAGGTCCCTTCCAGCTCTAGATCTACGAGTCAGTCCGTCAGTCAAGTATTACTAATTAAGTACCTACTGTGTACAAGGCACTATTCTAAATGCTGATCCTAAGAAAGATGAATAAATGAATAAATAAATGAATGACTTTGATAGTTTGCATGCCGCTTTGTCCCAAGAAGATTGATGCCAGGCTAATGTGGTTATTATTGTTAATAATAACCATCAAAACTGGCATTCCTCTAGGACTGAGGTTTGCCTAGCACCTTGCATATATTGTCCCATTTGGTCCTCACAAAATCCCTATTAGGTGCAGAAAGCCCTAGTTATTAGCGTCCCCATTTGGAGAAGAGGAAATTAAACAACAGCCACGTGACTTAACGGCATATGTGGAGTGGAATTTGAATGCAGGTCTTTCTATCTCTAAGCTCAGCCCCCTGGCTCCTCTACGTCTGCCATTTTAAAAGGTCAAGTCTGCTCATAGAAGGTTACTGTCCCTAGTGCTGCAGGGGCCCTCTGACGTCCTAGGCAGGGCCCCAGGAGGAGAGTGGCTTTGTGACTAAGCCCTACTGATCTCCTGTTGTGGGGCTATCGCTACATGTACACACAGAGCTCCCCAGGAAAGAGGGAAGGGGGAAAGGAGAGAAAGATCCCTGCTTTGAGTTTTATAACAACATAAGAGAATTTTCCTTTTATTCCTTGTCTCCACTAATTGGGGGCAGATGCACATCATGGTCTCTAATAGTTTCCAGACCCAAACAACAGTC